ACCGAGGCGGGACTTCCGCCGGGAGCCGGAAGAGAGGCTCGTGGGTCTCCCTGGCGTTCTCTCTCTCTCCCTTCTCTTCTATCCTCTCCCTCTCTCCCTCGTATGTGAGCGAATTGTCCCCGCTGCTTCTTGGCATCGAAACGTTCCGGGGCTCGGACCCGCTGCCGCCGCCCCTGCCCTCTCCTCCTGCCGCCACCGATCCGCGCCCGTCCCCTCCCGCTTGCCGCTTCTCCCTCTTCCTCCTCCTCCCTGCTGCTGCCGCCGCCACTTTTCCGCCTGGACGCCGCCGCCTCTGCCCCTCTCCCCGGTTTCTCTCGCTCTCTCTCTCGCTCTCTCACCCCTTCCTGGGACTCGGAGGCGGCGGCGGCGGGGGGCAGTGGCGGAGGCGGCGGCAGCGGCGGCAGCAGCAGAATTCCCGACCCGTCTTTCCAGCGAGATTCCTCCGGCCCTCCGGGGCCTCCTTAGCCTTGGGTTTGACAGGTGAGTGAGGCCCCGTTTCCCCTCCGGACGCCCGTTTCCCAGTTTCCCCCCCACACGCACCCGCCATTTTCTCACCCGAGGGCCCTCGCGGGGGCGGGGCTGGCCTGAAGCCGACGGGTCCGGATTTAAGGCCTGGTTCTGCCCGGCGGCAGCTCTGCACTGCGTCTGCCCGGGAGGCCTCCGCGAGAAGGAAACGCCGAGTTTGGGGTGGGTCGTCTTCCCAAGCTTCCCTTCCCTGGGCTTCCTTGGCCGGCTTCGTGTTTCCGCAAAGCCCTGGGGGGCAGGGAGGGAGGGAGGGAGGGGAGGAAGCTGTCTCCCCAAATTGTCATATGGCCTCCTTCCCTACTACCGCCCCCGCCCCAAGGAGGGAATCCCGGCGTTTCCACTCCTTTCTCTTTCTGTTCTGCTGCTGCTGCCGCCATTGAGAGCCTTGTGGCTTTCTAACAGCCTTTAAAGTTCACGGTGTAACCTCAAACTCCACAATAGTAAAGCTCTTGGACTGGCACACCTCTCTTGGCAATCTTGGTTCGTTGTCACTAAAGGAATAGCGAAAAAGTTACTCCCCCCCCCCCCCCCATGCTTAAAGTGATACCTTAAACTGAAAGGCTTGAATTCATGGGCCTCCCTAAACTCTGGTTAAATGGTGGCTTTGTTTTGTATTGCTTTAAAAGAGGAAAACGTGGGTTGCCTTGGACCTAACACCTTTTTCTTCTTGTGTCTCTTAAATTGGAAAAAGCTAATGTGGCAGGTTTATAGAGATTAATTGCTGATATAGGTATCTTGGACTCTGTTTTGGCTTTTTTAAAAAATAAAAAACGATTGCTCAAAGGAAATAAGGTTATGTGTTACAGCAGTAGTAGACTGAACACTGCCTACTAGGATTATATGTCCTCTTCAAAAGAGAAATGTATTTTACCTTGGTTGCATGTCACTCCCACAAAAACTGAATTACCATTTAGGAAACAACTTTTTCCTCCTTGTTGGGTTTGATTCTCTACTTATATCAATACCTATGTGAACATAAGCCATTTAGAGTTATAATTTGAACTGTGTCAATATTTATTTATTTTAGAAATAAAGAAGGTATGCTTACAGTGGAAATAATTCATCTCTAAGACAAGAGGAACTTTTTAAGGATATAAATGTTTAATCAATAGGTTATTCATTGAGAATGTTAGCAGCTATATCCTATATGGCAGGGGTCTCCAACCTTGGCAACTTTAAACCTAGAGGACTTCAACTCCCAGAATTCCTCAGCCAGCCTATAACTATTTTGCTGGCTGGGGAATTCTGGGAGTTGAAGACCTCCAGGCTTAAAGTTGCCAAGGTTGGACAGCCCTTCTATATGGTACTTAGTTAAATGTCATCATTGACAGTGGTGCAGTTATGGTCAGAGTTTGCAAGGTCAAATATCAATATATTTACTAACATGTCAAAGTGTTTTGGCATAAAGAGAATCTTTTTCCATCTGGAGTATTAACTGTGACTAGATAAAAATCTCTGCTCCATTTAATATGAAAATAAGTAGCTGACGTTTTCATTAATCTCAGTCAGGCATTTGTCAAGGACCAAAGTAGCACAGTTCTAGAAAAATCAAAATCAAAATTCAAGCACTGACCTCGAGATAGTCTGATCCTTGCCAGACAGTGACCTCGACAGTCTGGTCCTTAGTATATGCTCTTTACAGTCTGTAAGCAGCGGTTTTGTGTCAGTAGTGAGTTTGCAGGAGACACGTTAGGTCCTCCAGCAAGTGCTTCTAGACAACTTCTTTAAATTTTTGTTCTCCATAACCATAAGTTCCAATTGAGAGGATATATATAAGTATTTGTAGTATAAAGAGTTAAATGATACAATTATATAGCTAATTACTTTATGTTTGGAGAAAAATTTCTGACCACTCCATTTGGTTTCTATATTCTAATTCTGTTACAAATCTAGTGTAGTAAATCTTTTTAAAGAATAGAGATGAATGGCACAAGTTTTTATGAACTAATGTTTCCTTCATCAGGAGCATCCAATAGAATGGATTTTAATACCAAATTTATGCCTTAACAAATCTGTTATATTTAAGGTGCCCCAAGACACTGAGCTGGTTTTACTGCAACAAAAACTGCTACTTTTTTGTAAGTGATTATATCTGGCAAATTGCTAAATAGGTGCCATATTTGTCTTCTAATTATAATTTATATTTGAAATTGATGTCACGCATAGAAGTTGGCGTCACCATTGTAAGCATATTTATTTAGATGGGAGTTCTGATTTACTTCTATGGTATTTTCTAGTTTGTAGTTTTAAATTGATAAAATCTAACTTATTTTCCCAATTTTTTTTGTGTCCAACCACTACATTCTGATAGTATTTGTATAGTACTATAAACATTTGTGTATGTTTATATCTATAAACTTTTTTTTGGAGTAGTTTTTTAGAATTGCTAATATCACTGGGCTAAAAGTCAATCAACATATAGAGAATGTTAGTAAAAATCTTGATCATACAAGGCTTACTTGTATGGCATGATTTACTAAAGGATGCAATATTTTCTCAGTGTAAGACAGAAATAAGTTTTGTTTCAACAAGACATATTGAAGGTTATGAATTACATATTGTATTGAAAATCATAAATATTGAAAGTTTTATGTTTGTGTATCTTAATCTTGGCAACTTTTAAGCTGCATGGACTTTAATTCCCAGAATTCAAAGTTGCCAAGGTCAGAAACACTATTTTATGTAATATATAAATTGTGTGTGAAATAGTGAATTTAATTCCTTTTAAACATGAGACGCTTTTAGCAATTGTGGTTGTATCTTCAAATAATTTTTAAATGTTTTCTGAAAATCTAGCTACAAATAGCAGTGCAACTGTGTAAGGTAGGATTTAAAGTCTAGAATAGTTGACAACTAAGCTTATTCTTTTTAAATAACACTTTTAATATTTTTAATTGTAAAATATATGGTAGGTTGTAGAAACATATCGAATCATGTCTGATTTTAATAGTTCCAGGTCTTTTCCTGCTTGAAATTGGCATTCCTTATTGTCTTCTGTTGGAAGAGTTATTTCTTGCAAAATACATAAGGTACGCTTTCAGGAACAAGCACATCTTGCATTCTTCTCAATAGTTGATTCACATCTTTAAAAGGTAATATTTTTTCTCACATTTGTTACTAGTGGTTCTCCAGGGATTGGAGAGAAAATGAGGACTAATCATTTGTACTAGTGACTCAATGTTATGTAAAGTAAACTACTAGATTTAGTAGCAGTGGCAGGGAGTATAAGAAATATTTGGCACATATATAACATATATACGTGCATACATATAAAACACACACACACACATATTGTAGTAGGCCATAATAATAAAGAAGTATTGTGTACAGTATATAAGTAAGATACAATTTATTTTTAGCTTATTACAATTTTTTTGCCTCTGAGTAAGCTGCAGTTTATATTAAGTGTGGTAAATCAGCTGAAAAAGATAATTTTGTTTAACCACAAAGGTTGTCAGAAAGAAGAAATGACCAAACTGTGTATCAACATGTTAACAATTGTCAAGTTAACTAGAATCTTTTGCTACTGCCTGCAATGACTTGTATGTACATCTCTTTGACTCCCCAGACATAACAAACCAACATGAAATCACAATCTTGAACGTGAATACAATTTTTGTAGCTATAAGCTTTGTTTACTTTGATTAGCTGATACCCATAATAAAAACAGTTTATTAATATTCTAAACTTTTTGGAATATTTATGTAGTTGCTGGGAGCATTGGATCAGGGATAAACTTTTGAGAGCAGTGAATAGCAACATACATCTGTTTTGTGATATCCTTTTTAAAAACAAGCAACTTTTTAGTTTCCTATATCCCATCCTATCCCCATATTGGTAAGAGTGGTTCCAATTAGAAAAATATTCAAATTGAACTGAGAGATACAAGGTTCTTTATCCCTACCACATAACAGCTCAGTTCTTTAGTTCACTTTAGATCAGTCCTATATGAGATTTAAAATAAACTAAAGATCTGAGCTAAAGCTTTGATGATTTCTCAGCAAAGCCTTTATATCTACGTTATATTAGTACATTAAAATGAAATCCATAGTAAATAAGAAATTGTATCAGAGTAGGAATATTTTTGTTTATTTTTTTGTAATTTTGTCCTTGAACACAATGGCTATATATATTGGTTCTGCTGGACTAAAATGGCAGGCAAGTCAACATGTTTCTGAAAAGTATGCAGAAATTCTGCTTCACTTTCCAAAATGTTGATAGCCAAAAGCACAAATGTACGTGATACATGAATGGTTATTATAGTAGCAAGTTAATAGCTAGAAATACTTGATAGAGGAAACTGACTTCAAATAATAGGCTTCTAAGGTATGTATAATTAAAAAGGTCTATGTGTGTTGCCTAAACTATAGTTTAGTTTGTTTTTTTATAAATGTATGACACATGGTTATGTTATTTCCCAAAATTAAAAATACTTTTGAATTATGTTTCCTTGAAAACATCCAGTTTTAACATTATGAATTTACAAAGTTTTAGCATACTCATTTTTCATACTCAGTAATGTTACTTTACTGACTCTTCAGATTAATGTGAATTTTAAAGGAATACCCTAGAATTCCTTGTTTAAATAAAAATTGGAGTTTTTTCAAGAATTTAGGATAGATTTTTTATATCTACAGCACAACCTGCTTAAAGCTACTGTTTCTTCCTTGTGATTTTTTTTTATATTTTAAAAGTATGTTCTTTCCTTAGCTACCTCAATCTGAATTGATCAAGTACCAGAAATACATTTGAAACACTGAACCTTCCCTTGAAGTTTGCTTCAGAAACAAAAAATTGTCATGTTTCACTTGGTCCTTAGATCAATTGCATGAAAAAGTTTATACACCCTGGTCAAATTATATGTTTCAGTGAATCCCTAAGTGAACAGAAGCTGATGTAACATCTACATAGTAGAGTGTTAAACATTAAATCTTTCTGCATATTTGAATGCATTCTTACTAGGTATGTGTAGTTGTTTAAGAAAAGAAAACAATAAATATGGATAGGGTACAAGTCTGGATATCCTTTTTAGTTAGTATTTGTAACACTTCCTAAGGTGGATAATGCATCTTCCTGAAGCCATCTAAAGATGCCCTTGCAGCTCAGAAATATTCTCGGGCCTCCTTACATGCATTGTGTACTTGAAATCTCCTCTCAGATTTTCACTTCTATACCAGTCTGAGAGCCGTGAAGGATGCTCCAAAACAGGTGTCCTTTTTCCTATGCTTCATGGTTGATTTTGTAGGTATATTTTGGATGTCACCACATGCACACATCTCTTGATCTATTCACATAGTGTTATGCTGCAGCATATGCTGTTCAAGCATTTTGTACTATTTCTGATAGAATTTTGGTATGTATTAAAAAAAACCCAACATTTTGGGTTATTTTTCCCAAAATGTTTTAAAATCTTATTCCAGTTCCTGCATAATGAACTGTTAACTTTATGGGACATATACCTACATAAAGATCATTGGGCGAGTCATTTCTGTATCATTCCCCACACCATATGTCTCTTTAATTAGGATATTCCATGAATTTCCAGAGACTCTCCTAGGTACAAATAACTGGTTATTGTCTTTCAGTGTCATAGACATAGAAAGATACAGTATCTTTTTAGGAAACATTACACCAAGAATACAGTACTACTTACAACTTGGTTTTGCCATATAGTTTGTTTGAAATTATTTAAGTTTTGTGCATTTTCAGAGTTCTGTGGGAGCAGGATATGTACTTTGCCTGCTGTTAGTTCATATCTTCCAAGTTAAGATAGGACAAATACAGAAGGTATTTTTCCCTTTAAAATCTCTGTTAAAAACTAATGAACCAATTTAATTTTATGAAGTCTAGAGTGCTTTTCCCAGCTTCTAATTTTATATAATTATAAAATAATATACTATATGTACAACTATTAAATGTCTTGGTTGTTACTAGATCCCCCCCCCCATTGGTAATGAGTGCAGCAATGATTTGGTTTCATAATAAGCATAGATTTAATCTTGTTACATATATAGCAAGTGTACTGTATCATATTATTTGATAGATTTGTTTCATAGTAGGTTAAATAGAGGCTAATTGCAGTGGTGGTGGTAATTGTTATGACTCACACCTTTAACTTCTAGGACATTCTCCTGCTGACCTTGTCCTTGAGATATAGATAGGAAAATAGCACTTTGGAAATAATAATTTGCTACTCTCTCAATTTTTGCCAATTATTGAGCTTTCTTCTGGCGCCAGAATCATTTGTTTATGGTAAGGGTAAAAATTGTTGGTTGTAATTATTGTCTTTAGTGAGAAAGCCACCTCTCATCTTTTAATTTTTTTCTTGCCTTAAAACTGTCAAGAATGCTTTAAATTCCGGCAACTTTTTTTTAAAAAAAGAAGTAACCGTGGGAAAAGTATCTTTATTATTTAGTAGCTGTATTCAAACATTTGTTCAATTAGTGGCTGCATTTACACATTAATAACAATGGTTCACTTTACATATCACTCTAGATTGAAGCCAGACTAATTGCTTTATGGCTAAATATGATGTTTGAACCAGCCACTGAATTAAAATTCACTTTATTAATGCTGTGAGTAGCTGTTATTTTTACTGAGCTGCTCTATTGTAGTAAAAACAAGTTAAATGTGTTTAGCAGACATTTCAATAACATATAGATCAGCCATATTCTTGCTTGAATTGTTAATAAATGTCGATCAGATTGTTTACATATTACTTGAATATAATATATAGAAGAACCAGTATACTTAATCTAAGAATAGAAGGAGTCACAATTAGGTCTTTTTTAAAATTTATACTGGGCAATAAACATTTCTTCATGCCAGAAGCCTTGGCATAATTACCAAACTGGCAGAGCTTAATACGAATTTCTACTATCTCCTCATGCAGTCCATTTGAACAGAATGACTAAATCGGGATTTCATGACTTCAATGTTAGTTAAGTATTTACCTTGTCTTTTTTGGTTTTTGCTCCAGTCAGAGTTCGTAACCTTTCTGTTAGCCTAATAAAGTTTAACCTAAAATGAATTTTGAAATCCGAAAAAACACTGGTGATGAAAATCATGATTATAATTATTCTGTTATATTCCTTATTGTGGCACTGAAATTACATTAGAATCATTATTTTGGGTTATTCCTTTTATTCATATTTAGCATGTCCGGAATAGCTGATTATTTGAATTATTTCAACTGTGCACAGATGCCCAAGGAGTAGAACTGCTTGAGGAGATTGCAGACATTCACATTAAGCTCTGCCGGGTGCTAAGTTTGGTTGTTGTGCCAAAAAGTAGGTTTTGTGGACTTCTTGTACAGTTATTGTTTTGGCTTGTTCATTGCCTGAGTGGATTGTGCTCACTGGTTATTGGTTTTCACTTTATTTGTTCTTTTATACAGGTAGTCCTCGACTTATGATCACTCTAAATTACAACAGCCCTTCTCTACAGTACTTACAACATGGTGGCTGGGCATCCCTGCAGTCCTATGACCGCATTTTGGGCACTTGACAACCACCCCACATTTATGGCTGTTTACAGCGTGAGGTTTTGCCAGAACAGCAAAACTGGATCAGAGTTGAACAATTAATTTGTTTAACAACTGTGGTATTCACTTAATGACCACCACAAAAAAGTTATAAAACTGGGTCAGTCATATGGGTGGGTGGCCCCATTTTACAATCATGATGGTGTACAAATGTAATAAATACATGCCAGTTGCCAAGTGTCTGAATTTGGATCACATGACCATGTGGGGACGAATTGTAAGTCACTTTTTAACATTCTTAAGTCACTTGTTTCAGTTTGTAACTTCATATGGTCACTAAATGCATGGTTTTAAGTAGAGGACTGCCTGTAGTTTTTAAAGCAGCCCCGTGTAAAGTGCCTTGCTGTACTAGGTCAAGGGGTAATGAGGGCATTGTTTACTGTAGTCAGACCCTTTTGCACCGCATAAGACTATAATTGTTGCACCCGGAGGAATTGGACAAAGGTTCATCTAATCAAAACCTGCATTTACTTTTCAAGCGGAAACTGTAAATTCTGAAGTAACCCTAATCACAAGCCTGCTCCTTCACAAAGTAATACTTGATTGTCAGAAGACAACACTTGTATCAGTGGAGAACTCCACTGTACAAATAGCAATTATCCTGTTTGGGATCGCCATTTGTCAGAAATGGTGTAGGGTCTCCTGCTTGGGCAGAGAGTTGGACTAGATCAGCGGTCGCCAACCGTTGGGCCACAGCCCACTGGTGGGCCATGAGAAAATTTTGGTGGGCTGCAGAGAAATCTCATCTCCAGAGCACCCCCCAAACCAATTAATCCAGGCTGCGCAGAAACACAAGGCTGCGCCACCCACATGGCGCACAGGAACTCTCCCCGCCCACTCACTTCTTACCCGGCAAACTTGCCTGCTAAATTGCTATTTTTCCTTTTTCCGACCATCATCTGTTCTTCTGTGCCGGGAGATTTAGATTAGCTAGGAAGCAGGAAATGGTTGGATTTCTTGCTTTCTAGCTAGTCTTTAGTTCCTAGGCTCTACTTTTAAGCATAGCTGAACCTCCCTTAAGACTGAAGATTCTATTATTCAGTGCAGACTCAAGGCAAATAGTTATGTATACTATAGTTTTAAATTTAAAGTATTACAGGGAATTTGGTTATGAGTTAAGAAATACACATTAATGGAACCATAGGCATCTTAGTTGTGTTGATAATTTGTTTAGCTATGTTTCATACAATGAAGTAAAGAGAAAAAAAATAGATGACACATCCCTGACTCGCTTATTTCGTTTGTTCTGTCAAATGCATTTAAAGGAAAGGATGGCATGGTTTTAAAAAGGGTATTCTAATTTGGAACATTACAGTACACTTATTGGGACTGATTGTTACAGAAAGAGAGAAGAAAACCTTCTGAGGTCACTTCCTGTACTCTTAGCTACAGTAAAGGCAATTGGCTCCATGACAGGGTTCTGTAGCTATGTATCTAGAATGCTGAGTCGTCACTGGCAGACCTGCAAAAAAACTGTTGGATTGTTCCCCATAGCTAGCTGTCACGGTTCAGATCAGACAGTGCTCAAATAAATGCAACACTACACAAATGCAAGATGAATTACTTGAATTTGAACTACTAGATGAATTTAAATGACTAGAAGAATTATTTTCAGTTATCTGAAGCACACTCTCATCAGCTACTGTGCAGCAATCTAGCAATTTATTTTAATGCAAAGTTAGTATCCTGATAGAAAGTGTGCTTCAGAACCTACTATATTGATTACAATTAGTTGTTACGTTGCCTACTCAAGCAGTTATAGCAGCTTGCAATAATTAAGACCATCAAATCCAAAATACTTTCAAAATTACATATATTTGTATTGTAAGCCTTTATTCTTTAAATTCTCAGAATAGTTACTACATTAATTGGGTGCATTGTCTGTGTAGCTAGAATCCTTAAATGTGATGGCCCACCTTAGTTTCCAAAGTGCAACTGGCACCATCTTAATGCTAACATCATTTTCACTAGCATTGCTCTTCCTGAAAGATGCTTTAAGCAGTCAAACTAATTTGTTTTCCTATTTTCTCTCAATCAGAGAAAAGAATTTACAAGAAATGGTTACCCAGATAACTTTTCGGAACCATGTGCCTTTCAAGATTGATTGTATAGTAGGTAGTGATATAACTAATACAGAATTCCACCTTTGTGGTGGCAGTCAGCTTTTAAAACCTGTTTGCATGTTCATAGTTGAGTATTTGTCTGATTTATCATTGGAAGGATAATCACAATGCTTGCATTACAATGCTTTAAAAAATAAAACAGTAATTCCTTAATAATGAATCAAGGCAGATTAAAGTGCCACAAGAACTGTTTATAATATAACTTGTAAACTCATTCCCATCTATATAGGAAGTTGCCCAAACCATCTTAGGTTTGTGTCTTTCTGAGAAGTCTCCATTGTGGGTAGGCACAGCATGTTCAAAGTTTTTGTTGATTCACTCGGCTTATTGCAATGGGTATCCTCGTAGCAAAATTGCCTCTCTTTGAAGAGTTTGTAGAGGTTTGCAGCTATGTGAATGAAATACATAGAACATTTTTGATAGGGAAAAACTACTTTGTGAATTGAAAACTTGAAAAAATGAGTACTACATCAAATTATGATCTGGTGGCTGGATTCCTCTCACTACGCGTGACTGGTAAAAAGTCCCAGAGATATCCCTGATCATCGGTTGAGGCCTCTAATCCCAGAGGCATCAAGATGATGACGATGAAGACTCTGCAGAATGTTAGGTTTTCTTTTTCTGTTCAACTCTTAACCCAGGAAATTTAGCAAATTGTTTTTGCTATCCCTGTTTTAAACATCTGTTTGCCATTCAACCAAAAGAAAAAGAAAAAAACCCAAGATATGACTTAGCTGGATGTTCTACTGGTTAATTCTGATTAAAGTGGATTGAAAATTATTTAATGTATCTTCTTTTCTGGGTCTTTATACTGCCTTGGCATTTCTTTTCCATCCTTTTTCAGATGTTTAGTAAATCCTGGATTCATATACTGGATTTGAAAAGCTGATGCTGGGTGCCACCAGTTGTATGCTGTGGAAGATGGCTTCCCAGATGCCCTTGCAGCATGGCTGCAAACTCGCAGGGGGTTGAATTGTTTGTTGCTTTGCCCCTCCGGTGTTTGTTACATTCACTTTGTTGGGGCCAAGGAACCTGCAACAGTAGTGCAAGCTCCCCAATTGAGGTTGAGTCCTCTGATACAACAAGTAGTCCTCATTTAACAGCCACATTAGGACCAGCAGCATGGTCATCAAAGTGGCTGCTAAGTGACACTGCAACTGTGTTATATTGTCCTACTTCAGCTTCCCTTTGCTTTACAGACCTGTGAAAGTTATAGATGTGAGGATTGGTCGTAAAGTTGCTTGTTCATCATTTTTTAATTGCAAACAGTCATTGAATGAGGCAGTCACTAAACCACGACTACTTGCATTTGGAAAGGCAAATTAGTCCTATTTAAAATAAGGATAGCACTTACAATTCAGATTATTCTAATACATAGGTATTGTAATTCTCAGATTTCTTAATAATCAAGATCACTCTGGTATTTGTTTCTTTCATGCTGGTAAATAGCTAACTTCTTTAGCAGGCAGTTCACATTGGAACTGACTCCCAACTGTATTTTTATTTTCATATTACAGCATTTGCTAGGAAAGGTTTAGTTATCTGCTTGTCTAAAACTTTTGCAGATCAATAAAATAATTTATTTCACATAATAACAATAGAATCAACTCATCTGAAAAATTACCACCTCAGGCTTAGGCTTTATTATAGATATTCATACTCCTTCATCACCAATTTGCCAGTTTGAAGTTCAGATGCTTTCATATTCATAAGGCAGAAAAGCTACTATACTTGTAAAGCATTTCACCCAATTTGCACTGCTGTACATTCTGTGACCCCTGTGAACACAAAGGTTTTTATGGGTAACTAGTTGAACTGTCAAGAAGCTGGAACAAAACAACAAACAAGAAAGTACAATTATAGAATTGTAAAAAAATGAATAACAACTGATAGCAAATAAGCGGAGGGAACAGAATGCATAAACAGGGATAGAAAAAGTGAAATATTTTAAAATTATTCAGTTGTTCATTTTGGCACCGCATCTTGTTAAGCTTTTCAGTTTAGACTAATATTTAGAATTGTTTACCAATAAGAATGGCTGTGTAGGCCTTGAAAGGAACAATAATGTTGGTGGGAATTGTTTGCTTAAAGTGTTCTCAAGTGCAATCTAGAGTGATGATTCCTGGGATGCATCTGATATATAACTTATTAACCTAAAAGTAGTTTACCTTTGTATAGTGCTATGATTGTACACAACTTAGTGGAATGGAAAATGGAAGTGCCATCCATAACTAAAATGCCAGTGATACAAATGTGTATGTAATATGTAAGGTGTTGGTAGATGTGGTCAGCACCTTCAGTTTTAAGCTTTCAATGCTTGCTATTGTAATTTCTCCAGGTTTATTTAAATATATTTTGTCAGTTAAATGGTGCATCTGTAAGTGATGTGCAAAATTTTAAAAAATAATAAAATCACGGTTTATCACGATAGTATTGATAATTAGGATTACAATTTGTCAGGATTATCAAGATTTAAGATTAATAATCACATATCAAAAATCAAAAGGGTCTTTGTAATTTTATTTTGAAAGGAAGGGCATTCAGGGAATGGATGTTTCAAGCTTAAATGCTATATTCCTGGTTGATACCAAAGAAAGATTTAGAGGATTAATTGCACCTGATGTGGTTCTTAGTAGGCAAGCAGATTTATATAGGAAAAGGCATTCTGTCAGTGCTTTAATTATATAATACGAAAACTTTTAAATTGGTATAGTACCAAGTCAGCAGCTAATCTTTTAGTAAGAGTTTATGCTGCACTGACTAAGTAAATCACAGCAATCTTATTAGTGCATTTTGTGGACTACTTGTGATAGACCTACATATTACATTTAATAGAATAACACAGTTAGAAGGGACCTTGGAGGTCTTCTAATCCATCCCCCTGCTTAGGCAGGAAGCCTTACATCACTTCAGACAAATGGTTATCCAATCTTCCAAATGTAGCAAACACCCCTCCCCCCCCCCCAACATGTTATAAGAATCCCATTAGGAAGGGACTAATATATTCTAACGATTAAGCCAGGGATCTTCAAACTTGACAGCTTTAAGATTTGTGGACTTCAACTCCCAGAATTCTTCCTCCAGTCATGTTAGCTCAGGAATTCTGGGAGTTGAAGTCCACAAGTCTTAAACTTGCCAAGTTTGAAGACCCTTGGACTAAGCTATACACTTCAAGTCATTTCTACATTGCTTACTTTAAAATGGTTCTAGTTTTAAATGCCTCTAGTGATAACTGTATATTTTTGTCAGGATCTCTGCCTGCTCATTTAAAGAGGAGCACATCTGTCATCCTGAGGAGGTGAGGTGTGCAGCACTTGGATGTCAAGGGTAAAAATATGTTTGGGGGCACTTGTATAGCATCTCTGTAACTCTTAAAGTAGCTCTATCTTTAAAAAAAAATGAAGGCAGCCTCCTTAGCTGTTGCACGATCCAGGAAAAGACACTTTTTTCAGTTGCAGACGAATGCTCTTACAAGCTTCAAAATATTATTTTACTTTTAAATCCACAGCACTATGTATACCCTCTTGCTTTTTAGATTTTGGAGTCTTATTCCCATAGAACATTTCAGTATGATTTACCAATCTCATGAATCTTATACTTAAATAATCTTGTATTTCATTGAAGAGGGTTTTCCCACCCACTCATTTCTGTTCCTGTTTCTAGGTCTGTGACAGCTTTCCAAACTGAGGGATTTTCCAGAACTCAATAGATGCAGCACTGTGTTACTGCTACAGAAAAGAGCAACTGACTGACAGGTATCAGAGAAGGAGCCTACAGTTTGAATGTAAGAGGAAGAATGTATCCACTGTATTTGGGATTCCTTCCCCATCCACTACTAGATAGTGCTCTCCTTTTTAATTGTTTAGAAAGGCACAACTTTCAATTTATAGATTGCTGGATGCTGGGAATGTTGACTTTTACTCAGTGTACAGTGTAGACTCTATAATTTTTAATAGCATTGTTTTAAAGCATTTGGAATAGGGATGTCTAGAATATTCCTCAATTAATTGTACCATGCAAGGCCTATATTTTTCAAATGTCAGTATTTTAATACACGGGATTATTTAATTAATAATTAGATAGGAAGAACAGAATTCCTTAGGATAGTTTATTATATTTGAATAAGATGATCAGATGGCATGAGCCAAACAAACATCATTTTGGAGAGCTTGGATTCCCCTTTTTACTAAAATTTATTTTTTTAAGTACTTAGACAAGTTATCTGGGAGAAATACATTATTATAGTATAATAATATAATCGTTGTACTTGTCTTTCTGAATGGTAAATCAACAATAATTCATTTTTTGCCTTAGATGTAATAAGGACATTTTGTTATAATGGCTGGCTCCCAAAATTGCAAAATCTATCATATTTGCCAATTCATATTCACGCAATAGTCTATTCTTATTTTGTCAATTCATTTTCTCACAGTAATTGCTGAATTCATTTGTTTTAAGATTAAAATATTGCAAGTCTACTGATTTTTTTACACAGTAATTGGCATATTGTTAAAAAGTTAACTTGGGTGGGTGGGGGGAATAAACATTTACAAGGCAAGGATTATTTTAAAGTTTTAATGCCAGAGGGACTCAATGTGGTAATGAATTCCATGATTACTTCTATATATTGAAGTGGGTTTTTTAATATACCTGCTGCACCATATAAATAGAACATATAAAATGGCTTTAAGTATGTGCATGTGGTGCATCTGATTTACACACTAGTCTTTAGGATATATTAATGGAGCAAGTTCTACAGCACATGTGCCCACATGTTGTGTTCTACAATATAGGTAAGTACCAGTAGTATTTTCCCAGTTTGCATATATTCTAGGTCAGGGGTCTTCAAACTTGACAGCTTTAAGACTTGTGGACTTCAACTCCCAGAATTCCTCCTCCAGTCATGTTAACTCAGGAATTCTGGGAGTTGAAGTTCACAAGTCTTAAACTTGCCAAGTTTGAAGATCTTGCTCTAGATGACTACAGTGTGTTCATAAATGGATGTTTTCCCAATAGTTACACTGTCTTCTAGTGAGCATGTCATAGCAATATCTTAATATGCTGTTAGTTTCATGTCTGCATAGCTTAAGGTGCACATTAATTTGTTAAGGTCTGGTAAATGTTAAAGCAATTTATCTCTTAATGGAGGTAACTTTGCTAGAAATATTGGGGAAGATGCAGCACAACTTATTCTATTAGCAGTAGCTTACAAATTTAAACCATTATATTCTCAACTAAAATCGAATTTAGGATATTTATCCAAAACAATACTGTAGATACTCTGAATTTTAAAAATATTGCTAATTTTTCTAGCCCTTTTAATCAGGCTAGGCAGTCATCATAATTATCAAAAATTTGTGGTGAATTAATTCAATTTTAGAAATGGAAAAGTTACATTATGTAAGGAATACATTTATGGCTGAGCAGAAAGTCTGTCTCTGTCCTTAGTACAGTACAGTACTTTCAAATAAGCTGTTATTTAATGTCTGTATTATTGTCTGGCACAGGCAACAAGTTCCACACATGAGGTGTTCAAATTGAATATACCTACATTATTATATTCTATCTACGATAAGACTGCTTGCCTTCTTTAGGAAACTAACAAATAAGATTCCATGGGGAGGGTGTCAATCCCAGATGTTTTGTAGCCGTGCAGTGACGGAAGGCTAATTTCTCACTTGATTCCTCCTCCTTGTCTGGCTGATAGTTTACCAACATCATCCCTCTCCTACAAAAGCCCCCTTCCCTTTTCCATGTTGCCTTCAATGTCTGAGTTCTTATAGACAATTCGGACAGGTGGGAGCAATGCCACTTTAAAGGAATTGTTTGCCCCAAGTGTAGAATTTTCCCAGCCAAGTGGCAAGATGCTACATACTCCTTGATGTCTGCCACCATCCTGGGTCACCTAACATTTCACAATATCCTGTGTAGTGTCTTGAAGACACTTCCATGACCACTTGCCTCAATAGGATGGCAAAGCTACAGAAAGGTAATGATCCTTTATAGTGATCTTAATAATTATCTTTGTAATTGTGGACTGTGCACATCTGGATGCACTGGTTCTGAAAATTCTGTCTCTCTTTTGGAACAAAAGGGTAGGTGCTAAAGTTGGTGACTTTGAGGGTATGATATATCCTTTCAGCAAATTGGAATCCAAATAAAATCAACCATTCAATTGCTGATATGAGATATTGCTTCTTAGATGGAATTTTGGCCCAGCTTTCTATCAGTGCTGCTCTGTTCCAAACCACATCTGCCAATAACTTGAAATCGTCTATGCCTTCTTAGAGCTATTGAATATCACAGCTGGCTGTCATGATTCATACTCAGGAGTCTCTAAAATGCCCCTTGAATCTGTCCATCAAGTTCTGGTAATTGTCCATGATCTGGTTGTTTCCCTTTAGGACTGGCAGCATCCACGTAACTGCCAACCCCTTCAGCAAGTTTAGCACGAAGGATACCCCTTGTGCATTCTGTAGGGAATTCTTCAGTTCAACCTGAGTGATACAGATTCTTATCTTGTCTGCTTCTCCTCCTCCTCCCCCCCCCCAAAAAAAAATGTTTCTGGCAAACTTCTATGGCAACACAGCAAAATTAGCTGTGCAGCTGGGATGGCTGGGGATAGAGTAGCCAGATCCTCTGGTGACAATGGGATGTTCTGAACTTGCTGCTGGACTAGGTGAAGCACCATGGCTTCCAAGTTCCTCACTTCAGTCTCTGTCCCTTCCTGATGCCATAGCGAGACATCCACTATATTCTTAGCTGATTCCTTAGGTCTTGGCGGTAAACTTTCTCCTGTCCCCAGAAGTGAGAGATAGAAATCTAGAGAGAGATTAATGAGCAAGCAACCAGATCCACATGTAAAAGGTTCAAAAATACAAAAACTTCCAAGGATTCACCTTCCCAGTACCCCCTCTGTTTTTTTAATCAGTTTGAATCTGTTCTAACATGAAATCCTGTAAAATTGTCTGAAATATGTATGCATATATATTGCTTGGCATATGGTCAGCTTGTTTAGGAGGAAAAACATCTTAAGACATGGGCTGTCTCCCATGTCCCCCTAAAAGTTATAACTGCATGTAAATATTATTTAATGGTCAATATGTCTAATCACTTACAGGTAGTCCTCGATTTACAACTCATTGCTTAGTATCTATTCAAACTTACGATGGAGCTATTTTGGAACCATTTATAATCTAGTTCCTAATTTCCAATGATCTGTACTGCCAGTTTTTTTTTTTCAAAATTACCCCAATGGCAACCATGGGGTTTGCTTTATGTCTTTTGTTGTTTTTAAAAAATGAGTCAGTCCTGTGAACAATGTATTTTATAGTCCTAACAACTTTCAACTATCCATTACAATCAAATGTCAAGGACTATCTACCTCCATTTGTAAATGTCACGTTTCCATGGAGTTAGTTGGGCAGGCCATCAGTTTACAATGTCATGAAGCAACGGTGTGGGTGTTCTTTAAAATTTTGATTTTTCAGTTAACTCTTCTCTACCAATCTCTTGCCAAATCTGACAGCCAGAAATCTTGAGGCATGTCTGGAGAGTAACGTTGAAGTAATTCAACTAAATTCAGAACATAGAACAAAGCAATTGAGAGACATACTTTCTAGAAGCACAACTTTAGCTCTAGATTGAATTTGAAGTCAGTTGAATAGATCTGTGCACAGACAAGGTGAGCCCTCTACAGTCCTGCCCCAAGCTATATTTGACATGCTCTGAATTGATGCAGCATATGCTAAACGAAGTGACTTTTCAGCATGTTAAAAATTAATGTATTGGAGAAATAAGTGCTGCTACCAATGTAGTAGAAGAGGATTAAATGTTTTTTTAATAAGATATATAAATCAGATGCTTTTTTCATAAACTTTCTTTTGATATAATAACTATTAATTTACATTTACTACTTTCATCTATATAGAAAATAAATTATGGTGGGTTTTTTTGTTTTGCAGCTTAGGTGATCTATATAGTTCTCTTTGAGGAGTCAAAAAGCAGACAGCTCATGACTTCTGATCAGGACACTAAAATTGTGGCTGAACCGCAGGTGCAGCAAGTGCAAGAAGTTAAGGATAGTTCTCATCTGGTAAGTTTTGACATTATCTTGACTAGTGGGAATTTGCAAACATAATTAATTAGGCACTGTGCTGTGAGGTACATTTTTGCTTTTGGTAACTTGTCAAGTTATTTTACAAAATTTGTAGCAAATAGCAATCTTCCCATGCCACTATAACCTTTTTTCCCAGATTTTAGTTATGCCAACTAATACTAAGTTAAATGAAGATGTTACATAATTGATATTGCCAGTAACAGCAGCCAGCAGATCAGTCTTCTTATGGTTTCACCTTCATATCATATCAGTTCTGAAAGCATAGCTAGAGGCCAAGAATGGTAGGGGTTAGAGTTCAGAAAAATGTTTACTCCAGATCAATGCAATTAGTCTAGATTAAAAAATATGCAGTGATACATTATACTTACAGTTTACAGTGTGTTCACAGTTTCCTGTTGCTGCAAGCTTTTGTAGGTATGATTGTCTACTTTAAAGAAATGGTTCATTGGTTCTTCTGGGAAAGTTAGTCTCTCCAAAAAGACATATAAAAAAAGAAAATGGAAGATTTACAATAATGCAAGTATCTATTACTATCATTCGTGGGCTAGCAAGATTTCTTTTACATGTCTATATTAGCTAGTAACAGAGAAGTCAGGCACAGTTCATTTGCCAAATCCCAATGGGGAGGAGATGTTGAATGAGATATTATAAAGGCAGGATTTCAAAATTAATTTCCCTATATAGTGAGATTGTGAAAATGGCTTACACAGTATGATTCTTTTTATCAAATCCCAGTGAAAATAGAACATCTACATGAGCAAAATTACTGTGATAAAATTACTGTGATGAGCCTTTATATTTAAATCATATAATAAAGTGTGTATTTTGATCAAACAGAAGGAATAGGGTGTTAATTACATTTCTCTAAGGCATCTTTTTAATTTGAATCTTGCTTCCTTCATCCAGTTTGAAATTTTTTAGAATAAACTTGAATTATACCCTCAGGCTTCTAAATTGTTACTAAAGCCATACCAGAGATTATCTAAACCGCTGTTAACAACGGAAAGCATAATTTTCATATCAGTATACTGGTACAAGGATTGAAATTCACTGCCACAGAAATTAAAGAGGATTTAAGTTAGTCATGACTAGATTTTCATACTGATTTCAGTAGACTTAAATTTCATAAATACACCCTGAATCATTTTGATGGGCTTCTGAATTGGTGGACATTATTCATTATTTAAGGTAACTAATTGAATTGTACTATTAATTATATTTAACCAAATATGGACATGGTCCAGGTGTTAAGGGCATAGGCAAGTTTTAACATTTGGTTCAGAATTTAAAACAGATCAGTCCATTTAAAATATAGGAACATTTCATGTTTTATTTATTTGTTTATTAAATTTATGTGCTGCCCATCTTGCTGTCCAAAGCGATTCTGCTTGGAATCTACTTGCTCAAACAAACTTGAACATTTTAATGTTCCAGCATAGGAAAAAAAAAACGTTCAGAATACTTTTAGTTTATTTTAAAAAATTAAAATACCTTAGCCATTTTTTTTAAAGCTTGGGTGGTAGAAAGTTCATTTCTTAGAATATTTACCTTATTCATTCTTACGACCCCACAGAAAAACAGTGGAGTAAGAGCTCACTTTAAGTTCATATTGTTCCCTTTGGGAAACACATAGAATGGAACAATTTTTTCTCATAGATTTGTAGAAAAATTCCAGAACATTTCAGGTTCTTTCTTTAAGCTTTAAAAAATGTGTATGGCTTATCCATATCTGCTTGAAATGAAGGCCTTTAAAGTTCTCGGTTCCCTTCTTGAAGTGAGTCAAAAAAACCAGAATGTTTTCTGGCAATATACACTGTTCAAAAAAATAAAGGGAACACTTAAACAACACAATGTAACTCCAATCACACTTCTGTGAAATCAAATTGTCCACTTAGGTAGCAACACTGACTGACAATCAATTTTACACGCTGTTGTGCAAATGGAATAAACAGGTGGAAAGCCTAGGCAGTTAGCAAGACATCCCCAATAAAGGAGTGGTTCTGCAGGTGGTGACCACAGACAACTTCTCAGTTCCTATGCTTTCTGGCTGATGGTTTGGTCACTTCTGAATGCTGCCAGCTCTTTCACTCTCGTGGTAGCATGAGACGGAGTCTACAACCCACACAAGTGGCTCAGGTAGTGCAGCTCATCCAGGATGGCACATCAATGCGAGCTGTGGCAAGAAGGTTTGTTGTGTCTGTCAGCGTAGTGTCCAGAGCATGGAGGCGCTACCAGGAGACAGGCCAGTACATCAGGAGACGTGGAGGAGGGCAACAACCCAGCATCAGGACCGCTACCTCTGCCTTTGTGCAAGGAGGGACAGGAGGAGCACTGCCAGAGCCCTGCAAAATGACCTCCAGCAGGCCACAAATGTGCATGTGGCTGCTCAAATGGTCAGAAACAGATTCCGTGAGGGTGGTATGAGAGCCCGATGTCCACAGGTGTGGGTTGTGCTTACAGCCCAACACCGTGCAGGACATTTGGCGTTTGCCAGAGAACACCAAGATTGGCAAATTCGCCACTGGCGCCCTGTGCTCTTCACAAATGAAAGCAGGTTCACACTGAGCACATTGCAGCAGACATGACAGGGTCTGGAGACGCTGTGGAGAACATTCTGCTGCCTGCAACATCCTCCAGCATGACCGGTTTGGCAGTGGGTCAGTAATGCTGTGGGGTGTCATTTATTTAGGGGGGCGCATAGTGCTCCATGTGCTCACCAGAGGTAGCCTGACTGCCATTAGGTACCGAGATGAGATCCTCAGACCCCTTGTGAGACCATATGCTGGTGCGGTTGGCCCTGGGTTCCTCCTAATGCAAGACAATGCTAGACCTCATGTGGATGGAGTGTGTCAGCAGTTCCTGCAAGACGAAGGCATTGATGCCATGGACTGGCCCGCCCGTTCCCCAGACCAGAATCCAATTGAGCACATCTGGGACATCATGTCTCACTCCATCCACCAACGCCACTTTGCACCAGACTGTCCAGAAGTTGGGGCATGCTTTAGTCCAGGTGTAGGAGGAGATCCCTCAGGAGACCATCCACCACATCATCAGGAGCATGCCCAGGCATTGTAGGGAGGTCATATAGGCACGTGGAGGCCACACACACTACTGAGTCTCATTTTGACTTGTTTTAAGGACATTACATCAAAGTTGGATCAGCCTGAAGTATTTTTTTTCCACCTTAATTTTGAGTGTAAGTCCAAATCCAGACCTCCATGGGTTGCTAAATTTGATTTCCATTGATAATTTTTGTGTGATTTTGTTGTCAGCACATTCAACTATGTAATGAACAAAAGTATTTAATAAGAATATTTCATTCATTCAGATCTAGGATGTCTTATTTTTGTGTTCCCTTTATTTTTTTGAGCAGCGTATATTGGTGTTACTTTCCTGTTAGTTAATTCTGTATTGTGTTAAAATAACATGCTTATACAATGCATATATCAGTGGCTTCAGAATTCAGCAAGTATGTCTTTGGCTTTTTGACAACATTCTTGTAAGGAGAAACTATTGAAGTTCCTAACTTATTCCTTCCTGTCATAGAACACAGTGGAATCCCCCAAATAGTTAAGGGATAAAATTCTTGATGCAAAATGTCTTGCATGTATAATATACTAAGGCATTTCTCCGAAACTGAGCTTAATGTTGAGTGGCAATAGCACATGAGCCCCCTGCACTGTTTAAACAGTCCTATTTTTGGCATCTGGGTGTTGGCTTGTCTCCCCAGCACTTTTAAAGTGAAGTGGTTGTATGCAGAAAACAGCTTACAGCTCTGGGACTTGCAAAGGAGAACTTAAAATGGGCTGCTGTTTCGCTAAAGAACCAAAAAACAGCCATAATGAGAAAATGAGCCTGCTGCAGAAAAGTATAGAAGAGGAAACCTCTGAAAATAGGATAAGTAAAACTTTAACTTCAGTTTTAGAGGCTAAGGAAAAAATGGAATTGCACGTAATTCAAGAGGCAGGTTCTCTAGAACCTACCATTTATAATGACCATACAGAATCAATTAAGCATCCTTCAGCCCGTCGTGTGGGGTTTGCTGAGAATATTTCTAGGCAATTTAAGCCTCATTGGTTTAATACAGAAAGAGGTTTGAATAAGTATGATCCTTTACCAGAAACTGAATTAACAGATGGGATTAATGATAAAAAGCTAACAGAAAAAAGCAGTCATAATAATCAGTTTGTGAATAATATAGGCAACCATCATATTAATAGTGAAAGTGAATTGATTCTCTTTGAAAAGCAATGTCATTCATTTGAAAATACTTCTGCTTTGTGTGTGCCAATGGCTTTAAATCAAGAAGGTTTCTTCCTAGAAGCTCTAAATACTTATGGTATAAGGAGCAAGAGTTTCATGCCACAAGCTGAAATGGAGACTGTTGAAGATAATGATGCAGTTTCAAGTAGAATGGATAAGGAAATAGCAGCTTTGACAAACTCTGTATGTTTTGACATAGATAGACATCACAGGAATGCCAAAGATGAATTCTATAGTATTTGTATAATTGACGATGATATGAGAAATGAAGAAAGGCAAGCAATCACTAATGAAGAGTCCATTGCCATTGTACAACCAGCCACTATTAAGGAAGACTGCCATTTAGCATGCCCAGTAGAAGAGAGGGAAGAACTCTTAGTTCAGGAAGCAGGGCTTGTGCCAGTTAATATCAGCCTTCTGAAAGATGCTTATCTGATGAACAATAATGCAGTGCAAGAAAATGAAAAGAAAAAAGACCCTCCCCTTGGCTTGGTGAGTGAGGGCTATAGGTTGAATACTGAAAGCATAGCAACATGTGGTGTAGAGGCACAAGCACGTGTTGAAGGTCCTCAAAATAGAACTTGGAAAATGGATATGCTTAATAGTAGAATCATTTTGAATGAATCAGATTGTGAACACAATTCTTCAACGCCTATGCTTGTGGAGAAAGGCGTAGACATGAATTCTTTGCAATTCAGAAAGTTAGCATATGTATGCCATTCCAGCCCGGATGATGGCAAGAGTAGTAATGCAACTATTGATTCAGTTTTTGTAAGACAAACCAATATAGAAACTGTAAGGCAAGGAAATAGGCAAAAAATAGAAAACAAACAAAAGTGTTTTAGGAATGTGAATGAATTTCAGACAATTGCTGATTGCAGCGATAAGGAACTATCAGATATTTCTGAACAGAATACTTCAGAGAATCTCTTGAAATATGATACAGTTTCCCATCAAGAAGCTTCATGCAGTCCTGAAAACCCAACTAAAAATGCTATCACCATGCTTTCAGCATCAAATGATTTAGTTTCTGGAGCAGAACAAACACATGTACCAGAGTTTAGCAATAATGAAGATTGCAACTCTATAAGAACTGCTCAGCAATTCCAATCTCAGATAAATAGTATACCTTCAGAAAATTCTGGTTTGAAAAAAAGTCTGCTGGAGAACAAGGAGACTACAGCTTTTTCAGATCTATTCAACATAAATGTTGAAGGTAAGAACATCGAAAAAGAAAATTGCTTGCAAGATCAAACCCAGCAAGATTTCTTAAAAAGCAGCAGTAAAACACATGAATATTCCAGTGCACTTAATGAAGGCAGACATTGCTCCATCTCTTTGGCATGTTCTGAATCAAATGAGTTGGATTTGGACAGGAAACAGTCAAAGGCATGGAGCAAATATACATTCTATAGGCCTGAAGATCAAATAAACGTAGTCCCTGCAGAAAACTTTATAAATGGAGCCCATGAGACACTGTTTAATGAAGTGGAATCTAAAGATTCCAATATTAGTTTTACTTGCATATTAAATACCAGTAATAATTCACCAGAGATGCATAGTGTACCTACAGAAATACAAGAAGAAATGCTTGCAAATCTGAAAGCTCCTAAAAATCTGCAGACTTGCCTATCTAGCAGCCAAAGTGAAACCATGAGGTTTCCTACATCGGATTTAATAGCAGAAATAAAATACAAAGAAACATCTAGCAGTTTAAATGAAAAATGTTCAGAAGTTTATAAAAATAGCTCTTCACTTGAACAAAGTAAAACGGCAATTATATGTCCACATGATCACTTGATTTCTAGATTTTCTGTTCATTATGAAAACTTACTAAAAGAAAACGCAGAGAATTCTACTTTTGAAGACAGCCATGATGAATTAAAAACCAAGATAGAAAATTCTTCTAAAGTACGACCTAAAGGCAATGTGAGCTGTGGTTTGGAAACTTATGAAGATGCAGGTATGAGTTTTATTGACCCCGGACAAAAAGATAAGTATGCTGCTATTCCTTCCTATGAAATACTTCTTTTCCCTGATAATGAGCAAGAATCTGAACAGGACAATTCAAACAACGTTTTAGATCTGATGGAAGATATATTGAAGGACTCTGGTCATATGCAAAAACTATATCTAAGAGATTCAGAAGATGATGATGGGTATCCGGTTTGTCAATCTGGCGAAATAAATAGATTGTTTTCAGCCACTGATTTTACATGTGGTCAGGAATGTATGAGCTATCTATGGATCGATTCTTTTAACAAAACTGAAAATGCATGTCTCTCAGCTGGCACAATGCAAAACCAAGGTGGAGATCTAAGAGTTTCTCCTTTTCATATGGGAAAATATCCTTATCATTTGTTAATGAAGGAAAAGAGTGCTATTTGGGGATGGCAAGACAGAGATGAAAAACGTGTAAGTAATTGTAATTTCATTCATGAACTATCTTAGAAAACCCAGTAGATAGTCCTCAATTTACAACAGTTCATTTAGTAACCATTTGAAGTTACAACGGCACTGAGAAAAAAAGTGTCTTTATGGCTTACAACCATTAGCAGCTTCCCCACAGTCACTGGATCAAAATTTAGATGCTTAATAACCGATTTGTATTTATGACGGTTGCAGTACCCTGGGGTCATGTGATCCACCTTTTGCAAAATTCTGACAAGCAAAGTCAATGGGGAAGCCAGATTCACTTAACAACCAAGTTACCAAGTTTCCCCATGACCTGCCCCATTCTATGAGAACATAGAGTCTGCAGTCAGCCCTATTGAAAGACTAAAGTTGTTCTCCTATTTTGTAGAATCAGTTCACTATTGTAAAGTTTTCTAACCTTCTCCCAAGGTTTAAGCCATGAACACCACTCCAACACCATTACCACCACCACAATAGAGAATTGGACAGGAAACGAGATTGTAACTGAGACACTCAGAGAAACACCATGTAATAATAATTAAATAAATAATTGATTATAATAGCATAATTTGACAGAATAGCACTATGTATTTTATAATTCTGCAAAATATACAATAAAGTATGGTGTATATAATGCCAAATACATGTACAGAAGTTAGTATAGTGTTAAGAAGTAGCACCTAGCCACCTTGTTGAAAAGTTCATTGGACAACCTGTTGCAAAACACATGGTTTTGCCTTTTTTAAAAAAGATATGAGTTTTTTTGTTAACAATATTAATGTACTCTCATTTTTCCTGACTGTCTTAAGATTTAGATGCAGGAATACCAAATCAAGAATGCATTAATATTGCCTAAACTGGATTTGTAACTAAACATGTTTTAATATGACATTTGAATATTGCCATTGTTTAAAAATGATCAGGCACTGATTTATTAATTCTGAGGGACTGAATTTTGTAGTATTAATTGTTGGCAGAGCTAACCAATTGTCTTTATAAAATATGCTGCATGTGTCTTATGCATCCCTTTGTCTTTATTTGGAAAGAAGTAGTACCTAATAATTTAAATGTAGTGTATTATTCTTTTTAAAAATGTTTCCAGGCATATCTCTTTTACAGCCAGTGCAATTAAAACTAATTCCTTAAGGGAAATATTTAATTAAAAGGCCAATTTTTATGATAAATGTTTAAATAGCTTTGTTATTTTGAATCACTATTGCTAAATTGTAAGATAATAGGTTAACATGGAAAACTATAAACGTAAAAGATTTCAACAGTTCTAGCGTAAAGTTTGCTTGAAGCTTTTAACCATGCATATTATAAATTGTTAATGAAATTGTCTTTGGCTCTTACAAACTACATAACTACTTAGGATTATATGATTCAAACATTTTCCTGAGTTGTTTAACCATAGTTATGCAACATAATGGTTGGGTTCACATATTAAATACATTAAAAACAGACATTAGTGTATTCATATTTAAACCATCTGTTTTCACTGGTTAGGTGGCTCTAAAATCATAATCATCTGTATCTCTATATAACAATGGTTTAACTTTAGAAGTTTACCATAAGAATACGGTGTTGCTTTTGATTTTTCTATTGATTATGCTTTTTGTATGGTTCCCTTGTTCTCTGCTGCCCTTATTATGAGTTGATGAAGGTATTGGCCCTAATCTTACAATATTTTCAAAGACTTAGATCTACTTTCAGATTAACAGATAATCAGAGTTGGAAGGGACCTTGTAGGTCATCTAGTTCAACCCTCCGCCCGGGTGGGAGACCCTATACCATTTCTGACAAATGGCAGTCCAATCTCTTCTTGAAAGTCTCAAGTGATGGCGCTCCCACAACTTCCGAGGGCAACTTCTGTTCCATTGGTTGATTGTTCTCACTGTCAGAAAGTTTCTCCTTATTTCCAGGCTAAATCTCTCCTTGTTCAGTTTCCATCCATTATTCCTTGTCTGGCCTAAAGGAGCTTTAGAAAATAGCTTGGCCCCTTCCTCCTCTCTGTGGCAGCCCCTCAAATATTGGAAGACTGCTATCATGTCTCCCCTGATCCTTCTCTTTCTTGTCATAAATAAGAATTATTATTGCTTTTTCTTGTTCCTCCAAGGTTTGTTCAAATGTGATGATACAAAGAATATTATGGGAATAAATAGTGCAAAGGGACAGTAGATAAGGGCAAAGTTGGTGGAAATTCATCCCTTTATGTGATATTGTAACAAATTTAAGTTAGTCAATAGAGATAAATAGCATTGTTCATAATAAAGAAATTTAAACATGAGATGCTTATGATTTAGACTTAAGAAACAAAGTGAATTCAGTTAAACACCATTCAGGATCTTTATAGGAAGTCTTTTTAAAAAGAGGGTATCTTTCATCTGGTGTAATACCTATATATGCAGCTCTTAACAGTAATGTATTTTTAATGAGATAAATGCTGCTGTGTGTATATCTGTATATGTGTATTTATGCAGTTAATGAACGTAGATGTTCTGAGTATGCGTTGTGTATTACAGGAGCCAGCCAAGGTTTCAGAATTAAACCCTAATGCAAAAGTGTGGGGAAACCACATGATACACGTGGAAGCAACTGGTACTGAAAGAGGTGTGAACAAACCTTTGGAAGAAGTAACAGATCATCCACCAGATTCCTGTAAAGAAGGTACAAGAAATGTATTTTCAAATACCACATTATTAGTAATAACTAAAGCTAACTATTTGCATTTACACAATGTTTTCCTTGTACAAATAGTTTTCCTTCAATTAACAAGATTCCTCATACTCCTCCCAGTCCACATTTTCTTCTCTGTTTTTATTATAATCTTAACGAAACCAGCATTTACTAAACAATATGCTCCTGGTAGCTAATCTCTTCCTTTCTCCCTCCCACCCTGCATCCTAACCCTGTTCTAGTTGTTCAGTTTAAAAAACAATTGCTTAAAAATTAATTAATCCACCCTTAAAACACATTATGGCTTAGCTTGAGGAAATAAGATTTTTTTTTTTTTGCCAACAGCAGTCATATGTACACAAGTAAGAAACCATTGCATATTTCTTGCAGGTTTCATTGAGAGAAACTTAACCACAAATAACAGCAAACCCTTCCAGGAGTTAGTCAGAGTATGAAACCTTTGGTGTCTAAGTCACAACAAATGAAGTATATTTTTGTGACTCTTATAGTTTTCTCCACAGCATTAGAGGCCGATGGTGATGGTGACAAAAACCACCAGAATGAATCGTTAAAAGGACATCAAGAACCATCACTATCTGTTCCATTATCAAATCAAACAGATATGAACCCTTTGGCTCTAGATCATGCAGAATACAAAACAGTACATGAAAACACTGAGTCAGGTATGGAAAAGGTCCTTGCTCATTCTTAAAGCTGTAAGAGTTTCTCTAAGAGTTTATAGAATAATCTTCAGGAAATTTTCACATTTTAGTTACTGAAGAAACATACGTGAGCAGGACTGAATAGTAAGCATCGTTATAGATGTGCCTATATGAACAATACCTGTGATTATTAAATCCATAACAGGAGGAAGTGCAGAGTAATAACTTTATCAGCACACCTGTGTATTGCGACTCATCTAATTAGAATTGCTGCTTGCCTTGTTAGGTTTGTCCTGCTTACACACATACTAAAATAATTTGCTTCCCATCATCTTCCATTTTAATATCAAGCTGAGTGCACAACTAGAATATTTTTTTAAATGTAATATTCCACACACTCTTTCAGCTTAACACAGCCTCACAGAGTCAAGAAAGGTTTTGCCTTATAGACAATGTTGGAAGGAGTTTGGATTTCTGATAGTAAATATGAATGGAGATTATGGATCTACATATTGTGTTATACTATTAATTTCAGTTCTACAGTGAATTAATACCTCCAACAGGCTTGTGCACTTCAAAAATCCAGTTCAAAGAAAAGTTGAACTCGGTGGTCTTTTCGTGGCCCAAAGACCAAGAAAGACCCCAGAGTAGACACTAAGCAGTTTTCTTTATTGTTTCTCATCCACAGATAAGAGATCTTGCCAAACTAAAGGAAACTCCTTGCATCCTTATAAGATATACTTTGAAGATTTTTAGGGAGAAGCTGTCTTCACCTTTTTCCTCCCAACCAAACTATCTAAAATTTGTTGTCCCTTATTCCTCTGGAAAGCATTCTCTGTCTCCTGGTAAACCAGATTACATTCACCACCGTTCTGTATAGCCATCCCAGAGTCAATTTGGAAAGGGAAATGGGTGGCATATAAATTTAATAAATATTATGCAGAGTTTCTTTAAATTTTAAATTTTGCATTTGATGGTCATAGGAAAAACATATTATGTAAGACATTGGTATATTCGCATTCCTCCACCAACACCTGCATATTTTCTGGCCTCTGTTTAGACACAGTGAAGATGAAGAAGAAAATAAACACAATCTTATTGTAACCCTTGAGCAAAGGTAGCTCATGCTGTCATCTTAACTCTTATACAATAGTTGGAAAATAGTTTTTGTATGCTGAAACCATTGCCTGAAGGAGAGGAGGTCCTGATTTTTTTTTTTGGGGGGGGTGGATTGTTAAAAGTCATACCACCTAAGATTTCATTTGGGGAAGGAAACATTTGAGGTCAAAGCCTTAAGTCCATGTCTCCTATTTCCCAGGGGGAGGTAGACAATCTGGTGTGATGCTTGTAAACCAGTGATCAACAATAAAGAAACCTATTTGACCCATTCTCAGAGCTATTCAGCTTGCTTACACCTGGCATTTCTCAATGCTTATATAAATTTATTTTGAACTTATTTTGGAAGAGAGGTGTTCATACCAATATGCGTAATTTTTATTTGATGTGGTTAGTTTTGAACCTTCTGATTTGTTCACAAACCATGGAATGTGATTAATTGGAAGTGACTCTAGCTCTGACATTCTCTTGGTGCAGTTCTTCCTCATCACTGAGGCCTATTGAATTGGCAGAATTACTCCTTTAGCTTTGTTTTAACTATATTCTAGTTTTATTTTCTGCATGGAGGAGCTGGGAAAAGTGAATAAATAAACATGCCCAATGACTTTGCATAAACTGGAGGTCTGTATAAAAGGAATGTAAATATATGATCTTAACAGTGAGTAATAGCAACAAAATGCTTGTAGTTTGAGTTCTCATACCACAGGCATTTGCTCCACTGAAGGTTTTGGCATTCTATAAGTTGCAGCTATTCAAAGTAAGTGTTAATCATGTTTGTAAGTCATGTCAGTTGCAAAACAGACCACCCACGTGATCAATTCAAATATAGAACCTTTTTTTTTTTTTTTTTGCAGCCATCAAAACTTTGGAACTGGGTCATAAATACATCTCAGGAAGTCCACCATAACGTCAAACGGTCACTCAGTGATCAGTCATAAGCCAAGGACTGCCTGTAGTGTCAAATAATATGCACAATATTAGCTATGTTGCTTTAAAATTGTAATGTTTTCCTTAACCACTAGAAATAGTTAAATAGTTAAAACAAATACATTTTTCAATCATGTAAAATTTCTGCAAATTTCAGGTGCTGTTGCTACGATGTTATATATACTGTGTACTAAAAAATCCAAAACAGTGATAGCTGAGTATTGGAGGCCCTTGATTGTTTTCAGATACATAACACCAATCTTAATCCAAAAAGTTACTTATTTTTAATGTGGAAACCATTTCTTATAACTTGCTAATTTGGAAAGAAATAGTGAATAGATTGTGTATTCACTCTTAAATATATTTTTGTTCATTGACTGTTCAGTTTAGGTAATTCCTCTTTTATCAAATATTTCTAAAATTATGGAATAGTTTCATCCTTCTAAATGTAGCTTAACACCATTGAGATACTTATTTCATCTGTTTAGAATCAGATAGCTTATCTCAAAAACCTGAACCAGTTTAGATCTGGTTAATGCTTAGATAGGAATTTCCTGGCGAGTCTGTAGGAAGTTTAAAAAGAAGAAAAAAAAGAAACATATGGTAAACAATTTCTATACTGGTTATAAAAAAAACACCCTGTATGGAACCCTATGAATACCATATGCCATAGTGATAGACTATCTCAGTTAGTATTTTTCAACTATAGCACTTTAAGATGGGTAAACTTCATCTTCGAGAATTCCAGTCATTATGTACTGACTAGAGAATTCTAAGAGTTGAAGTCCCTCCAAGATAAAATTGCCAAGATTGAAAAATCCTGATCTAGCCACATCATTTGCTACTTTTATAAAGAATTATGTACCATTTTTCCCTTCATTTCTTGTTTTCAATTCTAGGAAGTAAAGAAAATCTTCGGCCAGAAGATCAAGAACATTTACGAGAAGCGCTTAAAAAAACACTGGAGTTCTGCTTATCAAGGTAAGCGTATAATGGATATAATATAGTCAAGCCTCATGCTATTGCTAATAAGAGGACAGATTAAATGTTAATTAGGGTGGCATAGCCAATATAATTATGAATGCCATAACAATATGTTAGTCTGTGGACTGCATAGAAATTGCAGGGATGTATTTATATGTTAATTTTATAGCTTGAATTTCAGAAAGGTTGGGAAGGAATGAAAATGTAATTGTTAAGATTTTATTTTCCTTAATTGACCATTTTCTTATCTTGATTTCTACAACTGAAACACAAAAGATAAAAGCCAATTTTACAAGTTGCCGGTCATTTGCTAGATGTCCCAGGGCTCTCCATTACAGGAAGGTTTGTTATAGCTATGCTGGCTGGAGAATTCTGGGAGTTGAAGTTCACAAGTCTTAAAGTTGCCAAGTTTGGGGATACCTGCTGTAGAGGAATTAATTATTGAGAATAGATGCAAGTCAATTGTATGCTGTCCTCTGCACTAAAAAGAAATGGTACCTTGTTTTGCTTTCTAAGACATTTAGAAATCTTGTATAGAGTGAATTATATAGTAGTAATTTTTCAAGACTCCCCACATAATCTGATTACTATTTAATCTTTAATATAAAGCTGTAGCTTTAAACAAAATTTAATGAAGCCACATGCTGCCTTCATGACTGGCTAGAAGTTTCATAACTGGCTAGAAGTATATCTTGTTTTTTTCTGTCTACCTGGATACTGTTTTTTAAAAGCATCTGAAAATGGGCTACTTTTGGCTTTCTGTGTCAAATGGTTCAAGAAAAGCAGGACATGACAATCTAAGAGGCAAGAACATCAAGTTTGGCTATAATTCTGTAATTTTGCAAGAAATGAGGCATTTTAAAGTTAAAAGGCATGATTGTATCTTAATATTTAGGAATAATATTAAAGGCCAATGCAACCATTGCAGCACTCTGGTAGAATTGCATGGAGAGTTAAATTTTATACTAATTTTTTTTCTTCTACAGAGAGAATCTTGCCAGTGACATGTATCTTACATCTCAGATGGACAGTGATCAGTATGTGCCAATAATAACAGTAGCTAATCTTGATCACGTCAAAAAGTTGAGCACCAATATGGATTTGATTGTTGAAGTGCTGCGATGTAAGTAACGGCAAATCATGTATTTTTGCACCATTCTTTAGAATAAAAGAGCTTAGTTGAGATGGGCAAAGTTGAAACTCATTTTTATTCCCTTAAGAAGCAATGTATCTTAAAATGAGAACACTTTTTTTGTAGTAAGAGAGCTTTATACGATACTAAGTTCTTTTATCTTAATCAGAATTACATCTCTTTTTGCTGGCAGTCCTTGACTTAGAGCCAAAATCAGGACTGGAAGATTTATTGTTAAACAGTATAGGCATTAAAGGGGGTATCATATGGCCACACCTGAGTTTATGATCCAGTCATTAAACAAATCACCATAGCCATTAAGTGAAACATAACATGATTGCAATTTGAGACCTTCCTTTCCATCTTCCTATTAACCTTGCTTTTTGGAAGCTGGCTAGGAAGAATTAGTGATTATGTGACCCCAGGATTCTGCAGTCATCACAAAGCCAAGCTCATGTCACATAAGTGTGAGGATCAATCATAAGTCATTTATTTCAGTGTCATAACTTCAAACAGTCACTAAATGAATGATCATAAGTCAAGAACTACCTGTATTTATTCACTAGCTCTGAGTCAGGCTTCAGGAATATACATGTGCCTGCTGGCTTCTTCTAGTGAACTACGAGTTTGCAAACAGCTATCCTGAATAATGGCAGTTTTCCTGAATACTGTGTGCATTGAGTGCCTTACTTTAAGCTTATTTGCACTCTCAAGAATATCTGTGTTGGAGTTAGAAAGCCTTTAAGGACTCAGAAACAGGATAAAATGACTTTCTTTCTAAAATGACTCTCCCAGCACCTCTTAACATCAAGCACATATTTTTCTGAGAATGCATAGTTGAAACCAAAGACGGCATAGCTTTAGAAGGTTTCCTCAGCTCGATCCCATCCCAGCTGTGTGTTGCTGTTTAAAGTTTAGACGTGGTAGATAGAACAGTAAAGATAATTTCTACTTTAAGTATTGGGTGTGTTTGATGGTATATTGTCAGGTGAGCCCGTAGCATGAAAAGTTAAATATATCTATCTTCCTTCCCCAGAAGCCCTCTAGCCTTCCTTGTTGTTAGATGATGGCAGAAGTAACAACAGTCTTCCAGAGAGATGTCTTTCTCCCATATTCTCTCACTTAACCCAAGTGTATCACAGAGCCTCCCAACCTATAGTCAACAAGTAAAACTTTCAGTGGCAAAAGAAATAAAAATATGTTTCTCAATTCACAACATCATCTTAAGGAATCTCCTATAAAATGTTTCAAAGGAGAATTTCAGTTTGAGGCAGATCTCAGGAGATAAGACATTTATGAACAACATAAGAGGCACTATTGGACAGAGATCTCAACATTCATTAAACATAGAATAGCTGAGCTTCCCTAGTATGAAATATATATCAGAACCAATAATGTTCTGCTTTGTCCACAGGAAATAAAGAATAACCTTAGCTCACCGCTAAATAGACATTTATGTTCGTTGCTCAAGTAACACGCCTTTTGAATTGTGTGGGGTTTTTAGCTGTGTTTGTTTTTTTTGGTTTTCTGGAAAGTCCAACTTTAATTTGGAGCTAAAGAAGGTTTTTCCTTCTATCCTGATTCTGATGTGCTTTTTTGCATTTATTAATGATCACTTTGTACTTTATAGGAGAATAAAGGACGTTATACTCCTCGGTCATGTTTCAGTTAGATTGAATACAGATTTAGGCTCTGACTTTATCTGGAAAGGGTTATAACAGGAGGAAATTATAAATTTTAATTGGTTCCCCTGTTAATTTTTTATTTTTAATAACAATTAAGCTAATGCAATTATAGTTTAATAATGAGTGGTCCTCAACCTGTGGTCTGCGAACTGCTGTGGGGGAGTTGATATCATCAGATGGGGTCTATGAAGGCTTGAAGAAATGTTATGATTTAAATCGGGGGTCTCCAACCTTAGCAACTTTAAGTCCTGGTGAACTTTAACTTCCAGAATTCTCCAGCCAGCAAAGGGAATTCTGGGAGTTGAAGTCTGCCAAGGCATAAAGTTGCCAAGGTTGGAGACCACTGATTTAAATCTTGATTTAAGTCTTGGAGGTCCATGGCCATAAAAGGTATTTAAAGGGGATCCATGATAAAGAAAAGTTTGAGAATCACTGTGATAGATATTAAAAGTAATAAATACAAAATAGAATTCTATCTGTTGACTCCAAAGCAATAACATTGGGTTTTTTTTTTCCAGCATTGCCTTTAGTCCAGGTAGATGAAAAAGGTGAAAAAGTCAGACCAAACCAAAATCGCTGTATTGTAATTTTGCGTGAAGTACCTGAATCCACTCCAATTGAAGTAAGTATATTATTTCATCAACTGAGTTTTTAGAGTCTTATTTTTTAAATTTATAAAGATAGTAAAACACTAATAAGAGAGAAGATACCTGGAGCATTAGCTTTACTATTTCATGACCTGTCTTGAAATTAAGCAGAACTATATTAGTTCCTGGGTACTCTTTATAGTAATATGGCTTCAGTTAGGGCTGAATCAGTCTTTGGCTATAGTTCTCAATGAACCCTTCTTCTCTGCAGCCCTGACAAACCAGCATTCCAGTCCATCCATCTCATTTATTTATTTATTGTAGGAGGTTCAAGCACTCTTCAAAGGCGAGAATCTGCCTAAATTCATCAACTGTGAGTTTGCGTATAATGACAACTGGTTTATTACATTTGAGTCTGAAGCGGATGCACAACAGGTAAGCTATCTTTTTTGTGTATGGGTATGTGTGCACTTCTGCATGCATTATATTGAATTGCCTATGTCAGAGACTGTATCATCTTCTTTTAATAATCCCTTGTGGAGTGGAGTCTGGGCAACTGAATGGAGCTGAGTGTTTACTGGCCGGATGCCCTTGCTGTTGCCAACGCAGTTATATTCAGCAGATATATTCTCAGCGTGCCCAGAGAGAAAATGTCTGCCTCTACCTGGGATCGAATTCACTGCCTCTTGAATGTGAGGCGAGAGCTCCACCTCTAGGCCATCGCACCACATGTCAGAGATTGCATGATTTAGATTAATCATGGCTCAAATACTATGATGAGAACACAATCAAAGAAGACCTCAGCTACTAAGTGACAATAAGAGATCATTGTCCCATGTTTAGAACAAAACACTGACTGTTATGCAAATAAGGATCCCATAATTAAATATACTTATTATTTCCCACAGTTAATTTGGCAATTGGCAAATAATTAAAGGTAGTCAGAGCAAATAGTTAAAGTAGCCACAGGCAGTGTTGTCATATTATTGCAAGTTCTCCAGTTAGGAAGGTATTCATAATGTTAATAGGTATGTTAACTCCATTGGATGCATAGCGTATAGTTTATTTTTTCCCTCATCTTATTAGCATGGTCTTGGTAGATTTTGGAAGTCTATGAAAAGGAGCCTGAAGTTAACAGTTCCTCAACTACTGTAAGATGTTAATAGTATCACTTGGATTCAAGTCCCACTAAAATGAGTTATATAACTTGTTCCTGTTGGCTTTAATAAATCTAAAATGCATATTTTGTGATTATCAAATTTGCCTGGATTTCTCTCAAAACATTCTTCAACGCCATAACTGCAAAAATTTCTAGTGCTTTCTCTAGCTGGTTCTTTCCCACAATAAGGTTATTGCCAGATCAAAATAAACACACAAAAAATTATGTGTTCCCAAACATGGAGCCTATAATATGTTATTTGTTAATTTGAATTGCATATGTAAATTCTACATTAGGTAGAAAGGTATTCATGCTTTTGTTCCCATTAATTCAATTGCACCATTTCAAATAAGTGTAACTTTCTTTTAAAGGCTTACAGATACCTTAGAGAAGATGTGAAAACTTTCCAAGGAAAACCAATTAAGGTAAATGTATGATTTTGGAATTTGATTTTATAATTAGGATAATTCCAAACAACATCTTCTAAGAATATAATCTTCTATCATTTGCAGGCGCGAATAAAAGCAAAAGCTATAGCTATAAATTCATTTTTGCCAAAAAATGGATACAGACCAGCGGACATGAATATCTACACACAACAGCGTTATACAACATCATTTGCATACTTACCTCCAGTATACGGACCCCAACAGCAATTTCCACTATATAGTTTAATTACACCACAAGCCTGGTCTACAACACATAGCTATATTGATCCATCATTGGTAAGCAAATTGGGGAACCATTTTGTTTGTTTGTTTGTTCATGCTGATGAGAGGAATTAAGGAAACTGTCCAGGGAGAGAAAACTTACACAATTGTATTTTAAAACCATTGTATGTATTATTCCTCTGTACCTAAAGCTCTCTGTATCTATACCTAGAAGAGGGGGTTATGCTCAACTTTTCTTCAGTGGTATTCAGTAAGACACAAAGAACTTTTAATGAGGAAAATAAAAATCCTTTGAAACCTGACAGTATAGTCTTGAAGCCTTTAGTATGTTTGCACTGTTTGCAAAGTGTAATTTTGAAACCTTTGCTTCCCCTTTTTGAGTTGGACATCAAGGCATTTCCTGAAGTAGCTTGTTTTAGAGTTAAATCTACATTACTTGATTCATTACTACATTACTATGATTCAAACTCAGAACAGTCTTGTTTAATAAAATCTGGGATGGAAAAAAAATCAAACAGGTTAAAATTCCAGACAACTTTCTGTGATATAACATGCTTTTTTATATTTTAAAACTTTCAGCATGTCGGATTGATAATGTTGATGTGTATTGATTTTTATAAATTCATTATACTAAGCTTACTAAATCAAATCTCACAGGATATAAAATTGCATACGAAGATATTTTATCATATCTCTCCCTTTTATGCTTACTTTCTTCATGTACATTTTTGTCCAGAAGAACTAAGGTTTTAGAAATATAAATGTACAGATAGTCTTCAACTTACAACAGTTCATTTAGTGACCGTGCAAAGTTACAATAGCACTAGAAAAAGTGTCTTATAACCATTTCCACAGTTATGACCTTTGCAGCATCCCCATGGTCATGTGAGCAAAATTCAGATGCTTGGCAGTTGGTTCATATTTATGACCATTGCTATGTCGCAAGGTCATGTGATCAGTTTTTGTAACCTGACAAGCAAAGTCGATAGGGAAACCAGATTCACTTAACGATTAGCTTTGTTGTAGCATAAGTGATTCACTTTAACAACTATAGCAAGAAAGATCATAAAATGGGGCAAAATTAACTTAATAAATGTTTACTTATCAACAGAAATTTGGGCCCATATTGTATTTATATTGTACCTGTGTTTATATTGTGTTGTATTATGAGTGTATTTTATTCTAAAACCAAGGTTTGGTATGTAATGAGAATATTGTATTAATGAGAATAGTAATAAGCACACGTGTGATGCTTATGCAGAAAGGTAAAATGAACTAATGTGCTATTGTGCCATTGTGCTATTTTCAGAATTTTATGGATATATTGAAAGTTTCAAATCTATATCTGAAATTTTCTGTTCTATAGGTCACCCCATTTCCAAATACTGGATTTATCAATGGATTTACAGCTCCTACTTTCAAGCCAACTGTTACTCCACTTGCTACTCTTAGGCAGTATACACCAAGAACCAGGCAAGTTCTGTTAATACACTTTGTTTACCTGGACAATATTCCTGGTGCAAATAAACTCATAAATATCTCAGGGGTTTCGATTACAAAATGTCACAATTTCTCTCTCTTCCTTGATCTCTTAAAAAAGCATACACAACAAGTAAGGCAGGTAAAATGGAATAGGGAAATATTTGTATAGAAGACAATGAACCAAAGAAAATTGTGAATTAGTTGCAAATGTTTTATACCAAATTATGAATTCCATTACTAAATGACCATTGAGTCATAACTCTTGTCTTTGTGCAGAGAAATATGTTAAGCTTTGGACTGTAGACATCTATCTACCCTATTCTAAAGATGCCTGTAGGATTTGTGTTTGGCCCAGAGGCATTCTTGGAAATATGGACTGTGATTGAGAATAGTGCCAAACACTGTGATCAGTTGACCTTAGACTCCAGTAAAAGCTGTGCATGTTGGTGCAGTTCTAAACATCTCCTGAAGATGTTATATGACAGCTCTGAAAGGTTTTTATTTTTCCCTGTCCAGAAATCCCAGCAAATCATATCTACGGCATACAATTCCTACTGTAGACAGAGGGACTGGATTACTAGAGAGCCCTACAATATTCAATCTTTCTGCTGACCGATTAATCAACGGTGTCAGGAACCCACAAACCAGGCATCCAGGACAAAACAGGACACGGATGCAAAGTACTACAAGCTATATAAAGCGAGATGTAGGGAGCGGGCGAGTAGAATCCACGGCTTCAGATTCATCCCCCAGCTTAGGCAGAGGAAGGTGGGTATTGAAATTTAGGGTAAAGCACTAGCCCCTGAGGTTTGGGAATGTTGTATGTTTCCATGTTAGAGATTTCAAAAAGAATAATTCTATGGAAATGAGGCAAGAAAAAACTTCTCAGTTGAAAAGAGAAAGATTTAAACAGAAGCAGAACTATTTGAAGTGAATTATTTGATAGTATAATCGGTGACAAAACACTAAGGAGATTCTCAGGTCACATTAAGCCGTGATGATTCAGTTATGTGAGCCAACCGTTGTTTATAATTTCACTGTCCAGCTAAGAAGTTTGTCTGTCTGTCTGTCTATTGATAATCTGAGTAAAAACATAACAGTATATGGAAAGTACTGGTTCAGATGTCACATTTATGTGATGACCTGAGGGCAGGAGAAGAAACAATGGGTGGAAACTAATCAAGGAGAGAAGCAACTTAGAACTAAGACAAAATTTCCTGACAGCTAGAACAATTAATCAGTGGAATAACTTGCCTACAGAAGTTGTGAATGCTCCAACACTGGAAGTTTTTAAGAAGATGTTGGATAAACATTTGTCTGAAGTGATGTAAGGTTTTCTGCCTAGACAGGGGGTTGGACTAGAAGACCTCCAAGCTCCCTTCCAACTCTGTTATTCTATTCTGTATTATGTGCAATAATAATTTGTGCATAATTTACAACTGCTTACCAAAAAAGCTGATTGCTATTATATTGAATGGTTTATTAAAGTGGATCTAATTAGTGCAGCTTAGAAAATAAATGGCAAAGGAATTACTTCCAGAAACTTGAGGAAAAAGGTTTTTTTTAAGAAAAAGAAGTTATTTAATGAGCATCATACTTTGGATTTTTAATATTTAAAGTAAAACAATGTACACCTAGACTTACAAAGTTCTTGCATAAGTGATCTTCACTGAAAGTTATAACATTTCTAGATTCAGGATATTGGACATTTCTGATATTCCAGAAACGCTAGCTGATGTGGTACAAATAAATGGAAAGCATAGGTTTGACAATTGGTAGCAAGGCCATTCAGACATGTATAACTCTTCCTCTTGCGAATTCAGCATAGCATACCAAGTCCTCCATTTTCTACATCCTTTCAAAAAATTTCACATGACCCTGGGAGGTAGGTTACACTAGGTTGAATAATAGTGATTTGCCCAAGATCACAGTTCACATACCTGACAAAAATAATCTTGAGCCTGCTTCTTTGACCTAATTGAAAGTTCTGATAGCTACACCCCAAGGGTTTTCTCAGTGTAAGAGTATAATCACATTTAAAATGATATGTTAAGAATGAATAAATTCTAATAATGATGATGTCTGTCCTTCCAGAAAAAACTCTTACGGCTATCGAAAAAAGAGAGACGACAAATTTGTGGTGAGTATGCAATGTCTAGATATTCACTTGAGACTAGAAGATTCTTGACTAGAAGATTCTTGACTAAAGAGTAGCGCAGCCTCAGTGAGGAATGGTTTGACATAATGTTAAATGGTGACTTAAACTGTAAAAATATCTATTCTAATTATCTATTCTAAATTACCTCCAAATCGTCATGAGGTACATGGCAAAGTTGATGGTGACTCATATTTGTGTTAGATTTTTCAAGTTGTTGAAGCAATTTTACAAAGCATCCCCCTTCTTGTTCCAGTTCTGTTTGAATTCCTTTTCTAACTAATCTGTTCTACCAAACATAGGAAAAAATTCTTCCATAACAAAATAACTGATTCTTGTTTTAGTCACAATGGTTTCCTGCAAACTCCTTGATGTTTTAGTTGATGGTGTTCTTTTCTCCTTATCTATAATTTCCATATTTTTTCCCTATGCTTCTACGTGGATTTTGTCTTAAAATTTGAATCTCCCTTTCCATTTCCTCCACAAAACAGAGATACGTTCACATTACTTGTTTCATATTTTGGTCATATTACTAAGAACAAGAAACATTTAATTTTCCCAAATTACAATGGATATAGTTTCCAGCTTCCTGTAGAGAGCCAACTAGAATTGTAATTAAGGGAAGCTGTGTGTTGTGGTAGCTGTTCTTTTAATGACTTTAATTGAAACTTTAAAAAAAATAAGATTGAACCTATAGGATAATATAATGAAAGAAATCAATGAGAAAGAAAGTGAAAGAAAACAAAATTTGAAGAAAAATATATATAAAAAAGAAGTGGCTTCTGATATTCTTGCTGATATAAGTACAATTACATTTTAATCTCTCTCTAAAGTTATGTATCCTAATAAAGCCATAAATCTCAAGTTCATTTTTATCATTTTTACACAAAAAGTCCCCAAGAGCTTTCTCTACCAATAAATGTAAATAGAATCATTTATTTTTTTTGGTAATCAAAGAAATTAATTTATCCATGTTTGCAAGATGTGTCAATTTTACCAAACATTCCTCCATAATGGATAGTGTTGAATCTTACCTTCTGTCTGCGTGATTGTTTTTCATGCATAAAATTGTCAAGTTGCGCCCAGAAAATCTGCGTCAACTCCGTAAAGTAAGAGCTGATTTTTTGTTTTTATTCACCTGGGTTTCTTGAAATAAAGATGATGGTAAAAGGGCTTTCTTTGTTGCATTACCTTTCGTTTGGGACAGCATCCCTTGAAGAATCACTCCCCTCCTAGCATTCCTGCCTTCAAGATAACCTTAAAATATGGCTGTTTTCTCCATGGTTTCCTCAGGGTGGTGGTTCTTCTTTTATAGCATGTTAATTCCTCTGTTGTTAATTTTTGCTAAGAATCATTTTTTATGTTAGTCAGTCTAGAAATGGATGGATGGCAATATTAATCCACTACTCGTGGATAATGCTTAAATGCATTGTGTTTCATTCTAACTTCTGAATGATAAATTTAAAACTATAACACCTACTTAGACATAGCTTGTTGGCAGGAAAGAAAAGTATTTAATAAATAGAAAGTCAACTGATGTAACTACTTTATGACTGTTTAAGTGTGAGGTATGCATATTTTGATTGTTTCCTACACGTTTGTGCCCTTTTTCTTTAAGGTTGCTGTTGCCTTTCTTTCTTATTCTACACTTCTCTTGCAGAGAGGACAAACGCAGTCTCCACCGCCTATAAAACCGCCATCTCCAAGTTTTGAGCTGGGGTTGTCCAGTTTTCCTCCCTTGCCTGGAGCTGCTGGCAATCTAAAGACTGAAGACATGTTTGAAAACCGGTTGTCAAATGTGAATGTGTCATCAAAAGAAAAAGTAAAAATCCACAGATGTTGGGCAAGGGTGCATTTAGGGACACATACTTGTTCACTCTGAGGATCATCATTCTTTAATGGGCCTTTGTGATGGTTTTGAGAAAAGAGGCTTAGAAACACCCATCTTACAAAGTATTGCTTTCTGCAGCAGGCTATTTTCTGTAGTGCTGTTGTACTTGATAGTAGCTTTGCCAATATCATTTGGCTAGAAGCCTGCTTGGCATGGCTCTTTATATCCTACTCCTTTATATCCTACTCAGATTTTTCTCAGAATGGTATATAATAGGGTAACCTTCAGCCTGGAAAAGGGTCACACTTCAAACACTAGGTGGAAATGCTTACTGTTACATGTGTTGTTAAGCTCCTCAGATACCAAACTATGTAACAGCAAATATTAACTCTACCGTTTATTTCTTGTGGTGGACAATTTCTGAAATAGTCTGTATTTGGATAAAATCAAAGCAATGTATCATATTCAGCACTGACTTTGATGCAGATTGAAATTATTTTAAAAAGTTATCTACAGCTATTGTACCATGTTTAATTTCTGAAGTAAACATGGCTTAATCTTTTAAGATTTTAGTAATTCTACACAGGGGTTGGGCAGGGCTGCTACAGGTAGTCTTTGACTTGCAAACACAGTTGAACTCCAGATTTCTGTTGCTAAGCATGGTTAAGGGAGTTTTGCCCAATGTTACTGCCTTTTCCCCCCCGCCAAATTTGTTAAGCAAATCACTGCAGTTGTTAAGCGAGTCATTCATTCATTAAATAAATCTGGCTTCTCCCATTGACTTTACTTGTTGGAAATCAGCAAAGAAGGTTTACAAATGGCAATTGCAAATGATGTTGAAATGCTGCAACTGTCATAAATATATGCAAGTTGCCAAGCATCCAGATTTTGATCATGGGAAACTGCAGTGGCCATAAGTATGAAAAATGATTATAAATCATTTTTTTCAGTGGCTATAACTTCAAACAATCACTAAATGAATCATTTTAAGTCAAGAACGACCTGCACTACCTTCTTTCTGCCTCCCTCTGATGACAACAATTTGGTTATAAATATATTCTGCATTTGAATGGAAATGTAGTTTAAATGACTTGAATTTTGTTTTTCTCAGGGCATCAGTGTAGGTACAAACACAGTACCATCTGGGATTCCTCGTGAGATTTATTTGCCGGTTTCTTCTGCTCTGCCAAGGACATCCGAAACACCTCCTTCCCCATCCCAGGCTCCTGAGTAAGGACCTCATAATACAGATCTTTGAACACATTGTTTTGAATCCACATTTTCCATTGTTCATCTTCAAAAGGCTGGATATTCTGTCAATAGATTTTGAACCATTTCATAAATAACATTTCTTAACAGCAGCAGCATAGAATTTTCATCTGAATTGTGCAAAAGCACATACTGACTTATGGCTTGATTGTCAGTGTTGAAAAAATTATCTGTGTGTCTGCAACATAAACAGGTTTCTTACAATAAAAATAGACAGTAGGGATTTGCTACTATGGACGTCACTATGCAGAAGGTAGAATTGAGGCATTTTCATTATTCTCAGCTGTTCTTTCTATTATTTTACAGTGATCCCAAAGCTATGGACAAGCAGAAAGAAACTCAAAATACTCAAAGACGTTGGTACATTGTTACTACTGCTTCTAAATCAGTACAGGTCAATGGGGACCTTCTAGCAGTAAGTGCATTTTGGTTTTTATAAGAAGTTGATGAGAATTTTTTGGCTTTTATATTTTTATTTATACTAGAGGAGAGATTTGTCACAAAAACACATCGTGCTAAGCAATAATGTGATACATTTTGTTTTGACTTAGTATATTATGCAAATCCAATTCCTCTGATGCTTTTTAAAGAAACCATGTTTTCAAAGTTCTCTCTAACCTCAGAATCCCAGTTGTCTTACAGATGGCAAGCGCGTAAGTCTTGCAATTATGACATGTTCAATCAAAAACTTACTATTAAACTCCAGCAACAAAGTAGTCAGAATGTGGTGTATGGGCAGTAAATCCACTCTGTCAAAACAGATATGTTCATATCTATCTTGCATGCTGAGAATCAAGAATTAAACCATAATGAACCATTGCTTGTTGTACAAATCCAGCCATTTTAATTTAAAAGCCCTAGATTGTGGTGCACTCTGTTGTTTGAACTAAGTCCGTTGAAGTTTTTTTTTTTACCAACCATGACATAATGCTGCAATTCATGCCTGTTCCTGACTGCTTCAGCCATCCTCCTGATAATTTGCTCATATAGGTAGTCCTTAACTTACAACCATTCATTTGAAGTTACAGTGACCAATCCCCAAAGTTACGGCTGTTTCAGTATCCCCATGGTCAGATGATCAGAATTCAGGGATTTAACAGCTCACTGAAAACTGCTGGGGCACTTCAATTACCTTCACCCACCTATCTCCCTCCCTCTGTGCCTTTTTGGGCACTGAGCACTGCACCTTCCCCGCTGTCCTAGTTGACCTTGCCATCTTTTTGCTCCCACTGCTAACCAAGCATGCCTACCTAGCCTGGCGCTCCATGAGGCAACTACTGCCTGCGCAAAACTTTTTTTTTCCTGGTTGTGCACAGTGGTTTTCCTCACATCTTCCTACAGCCCCAGAGCTGCGTCATGCCAAGAAAGCTCCTAAGATCCTGAACTGAAGCCTGGCAAGCAGCCCCAGAGTTACACAATTAGTAGGGTGCAGGGGGACTAAAAGCAAGGATTGGGGAGAGATAGGTAAACGGGGAGACATTGGAGGCAATCTGTTACATTACCAAGGGTCAGGGCTGGGAAGGACCAAACTCAGAATGGTTTAGGTCAGGTCCTCTTAGCTAAGAGCAAATATACCTCTTCATATTTATATATATTTATATTCCGCTTCATAGCACAGCACTCTGTGTTGACGAGGTCAGTGTATTGCCCCCAACAATTCTTATTTTACCAGCCTCAGAAGGATGGAAGAATGAACTTTCAGCTGGTCAGGATTGAACTCCTGGCAGTGAACAGGGAGTTGGCCTGCAATACTGCAGCCTAACTACTGTGCTATCGCAGCTCTTAATGACTGGTGAAAATTCTCTTAAGGAGTGCTAGGAGTGCCATCCCTAAGTGATGCAGTCATTAAGGAAAAGTCATTGACCACAGGATATCATGTTTTATGGCAGCACTGCTTAATGATGGGATTTCACTCCCAGTTGTTGTCCTAAGACAAAGATTACCTCTATTCCTTACATTATTTTCCCAAAAAATCTCCAGAGAGATTGGAACTGCAGCATGTTTTTTATCACTCTGATGTCCATCAGGGGTTCAAGATTCCAGTACACAATTGAATGTCTTAGCTCTATTTATGATTCAATTCTTCAGAACAATAAAAATTTCTAAGGAGTAACATTTTTTGTTGGAAGAATCGCAAAACTATGCAAGACCTTCATCTTATTTTGTGTAGAATTCATACTTCTGGTGGTGACGAGATTACTCAGTTTTATTCAATTTTATTTTTGTGTGTGTTTTTTTTAATAAAGCAGGAACGGCGAAAACCTAGTTATGCAGAAATCTGTCAGAGGATTAGTAAGGATGCAGCTCCATTGCAGTCTCAAAAAGAACAGAAGCCAAACACTGTTGCTTGTGGGAAAGAGGAAAGGAAATCCACAGAAACACTAGAAAGAAGCAAAGAATTGAAGTCTAAAGACCAGTGGAGACCATCAGGACACAGGCCTCCTCTTCCTCCATCCGTTGGAAAACGTCTGACTAAAGAACAGAGCACTCCTCCCAAATCTTCTCAGTGAAAGTAGCACTTAGGTTGAATTTCAAGAAGTTTTCACTATGAAGTTACCCTATGTTGACACTCAGAGTACAAAGAAGGAGTTGCTGGTTAAAAGCTTGCAGGGGTTATGAAGTATATGAAATGCCTGCTAGAGGTTTTTTTTTGTTGTTTGTTATTGTTTATTTCTTTGTAAAATAGTTTATTATTATTCTTTTCTTACATCCTTATCAAATTCCCCTTGAGCAACCAGTCAATTCCGTCGGTTTAATTAAATTTTATATTAGGTTGGTGCTGAACATAAGACAATGCCTAAAATCTTTTTTTTTTTTATATTATTAGAAGGAAGATGCATTAATCTGAAATCCATTTTTATGAAGCCTCCATGTATGGATGAATACAAGCTCATTCTAATGAGGTTTTTTTTCCTAATTTACTAGACAGAACTGTGCTGCTGTATATCTTTGAATAATTGGTTTGTAAGTAAGAATCTTCAAAAAAAAGTCCTGAATACTAATAATAGCTAATACATAAAGTATAAAGCAGAACAGATGATTTACAAATCAGTAAGACAAGTTAACTTTTTTTTTTGAAATTCCAGTTGCTGTAGCAAATCAGCAGAGTATTTTTTTTTTAAGTTTAAAAAAATAAAACTGGTTCTAATATTTTTGTTTTTGGCCAAAGGAGAACATCATAAAGATCAACTGAGTTCTCTAGATTATTTGCATTGATAGATTGTAAGCAAGTAACCAGTTTCTCAGTCCAAGATGAAATGATCTCATGACCTTCTGGAAAAGAAAAAAAAGCACATTATAAATTAATTAAATGTGCCCTTGTGTATGGTGGATGCAAGCTAATGGCAGTTTTTCACAAGATAGCACAATAGCACTCTTGTGATGAAGATTTCAGTTTTTTGTCCTTCTCTCAACTGGGAAGATAATTTTGAACCCTTTTCTGATTGAAACCCATGCTCTGTGTAAGTTTTCAAAACTGTGTTCCAAATGCTCTTTGAAAGAGTTTATATCTTAAATCAGCCTGAGTGCTGACACTTTCTATACCTACCAACATTGGCACATGGATTTAATTTCTTTCTTTTAGTCCATGAATTGATGGTGTTTTAGTATGTGTGTGCAAGTATGCACAAGAAAGACATTGCCCTGTACCCTGCCTGGATGACATTTACTTTAGAAGCAATATGCTTTCTGAAGGACAAAGCTGCACTTAATACATTTCTAATAAAGTTGCTGATATATTTTTTTTTAAATACCTAAAGCTTTTCTTTTTGGGTGTTTAAGCAGCAGATGGTTCAGATCAAAAGGTGTTCCTACTAAGTAGTTTATTCCACCTACACACACACACACATGCATACACACCAAAAGATTTAAACAACTGATTTTTTTAAAAGAATTATTTCCATCCAATTTTTAAAGACTTGAATTTTATTTAAACTTGAAAATGACTTTGCCTTAACTTTTGTATAAGACAGCTTAGAATTATTGAAGTCTGACCCCATTAAGGGTTAGCACGGGGTGGCATATACAGAATTACTCAGTTACAGTATCTATGTACTGTCACTGGCCCTACTGGGTAAACATACTCTAGTACAGGTCATAGTGGCAGTTTTTGTAATATACCTTAAAAAGATCTTAAGCAGTTGATCTTTTTCAAAATGTTGAAAAAAAAATCTGTAAATGGAAATAGTCAATACTGTATTAAAATGTGCACTTGGAAGTGTGTGCTTTTGCTTGTACAGGTGTAAATAATCAGAACATATAAAAAGGTACCATTAAAAAACCTGATAAAAATTATTGATATATTATAAATGTTGCTGTTGAACTGGATGTAGATAACTAAGTGTTGTGGTTTGGATATTACTTTAATTTGTTTTTCCCTTGTTTCTTTTTCTTTACTCTGATAAGTTGAGCTAAGTCTGCCTCTTCACTGCTAAGGGGAATGGAAGAAAGCCTGTCTTTAAAAGTCCTGACATTGTAAATACTTTCTGGAAGTTTTGCATTTTGTTTATATGGAACACAGGTGTGCAGTATAAATTTCAATTCCTAGGACCTGAAATTAGTATTACTTTAATGAATTAGGAAGAAACAACATTGCCACCAGAAGCTCCCACCCCAAGTATATTCAACTACTTGTAGGCCAACACATTAGTAAAACTGGATTTAAAATTTCCACATAGCTATTTAAAAAGCAAACAAATAAAAATCCTAGAGCAGTTGATCTTCTAACATAAGTTGCTGCTATTTATAATTATCCTTACCAAAAGAAAAACAAACAGATCATCTTGCTCCTTGCACTGCAGACTTTAAAATGGCAAGTTGAGTCTTGTTTGTTATTTCCTGAGAAGATACACAAGAAGAGAGTCAAAATCATCTTATATAACCTTGGTTTATCATTGATCCTTTCCCCCCCACTCCCATGAGCAGTGAAAGGGGCAGTGAGACAGGAGGTATAATTTTGGCCAGCGATGAGTTGTCTTCATTTGCCTGCTGAGAGCATGAATACAACAGCTGCAAACAAAGAGAAGAGGCCACAAGTATAGAGCTAATCATTGGAGATAGCTTACAATAACTTTTGCAGGTCAGTAGATAGGCTGTATTATTTTTAATGCATTTGCTGCTGCTCTTTATACTAGGCTAATACACTGTAATTCTCACTCAAATAACAGTCTGTTTACTGTGATGACTTTTTTTTTCTTTAAAAGAAAGTGTCATGCCAAATAATTCCAGTAATTTTTAATATTCTTGTATTCAAACAGTTCAGGACTATTTAACAACACAGGCTATTTATGTTTAGCTATTCAGATCTGCCTTTTTTTTTAAAGTCTTCTTAAATTATTGAGTTGCAGGTTAAAACAACCCATTGGCAAGGGTGGACAGGAAGGGGTAAGACTACTTTGGTGCTCCTTGAAATAGAATTATATAGGTTCTTCTGAGTCTGTTTATTCAAAGGATGCATTCAAATATGAATTTTGTTTCTGCATATTTAATATGTACAGTATTTTTTTGCCTTCGGATGTCCTATCTACCATTACTACCCTTGCTCCAATTTTGAATCTAGTCAGAAAAATCAATAAATTGTCACACTCTTAATTTTGGTTCCTATTTTTTTTTCTGCCTCTCTTCTGGAATTAAAACTTGTTTTCAGAGAGGTGTCATTCCTTGGATGCAGTGTTTTGTCACAGCCACTGATTGACCAAGGTTTCCACTTGTTTCTATATCCCTTTCAACATGCTGTAGTTTTTAGGGGTTATGGGCCCAAATCAGACTGCTAGCAGCGGACAATCAAAGGTGATAGCTGCCAAGTCACTAAAGTGATAGCTGCCAAGTCACTAAAGCAAAGATGTCATAGGGAGGCCATATTTTTCCTGAAGGTGGGTTTTTAGTTCTTCTGTTTAAGACTGGAATCAAGCTTACATGTAAACTATTTGATAATTTAAGTTTCCTTTTATGTCATAAAATGTACAACTGTCTAAAAATGTAGGTTATGAAAAATAAAAAGATTTAGCACTGCTGAGTTTCTCTCTTTTTTAAAAAAATAAGTCATTAAAAAACCTTTGTCTTTGCATTCACTTAGATCTAGGCTTGTTGCAAAGAGACCAATACCAGAAGTTCCTTTGCTCCTTTCTTGGGCCTGTCCTGGTGCTCTGAGACTGACCCAGTGTGCCCATTTATTAAGCAGTTTGCTCTTTGGTAATATTTGCCTCATGTTATCATTTTCCCTCCAACATACATCTATTTAACTTGTTCCTGGCCCACTGTCTGTATAGTTTGCTCACTTACTTGCTTTAAAACTACTTTGGGCATGAATTGAAGTAATATATGTTTTGAGTGTGCCATATGAGCCTCCGTGGCGCAGTAGTTAGAGTGCAGTACCGCAGGCTGTTTCTTCTGACTGCTGGCTGCCTGCAATTTGGCAGTTCAAATCTCACCAGGCTCAAGGTTGACTCAGCCTTCCATGCTTCCAAGGACCCAAATTGTTGGGGACAATACGCTGACTCTGTAAACCACTTAGGGCTGTAAAACACTGTAAAGTGATATACAAGTGTTATTGCTATCCTTTCCGCAACTGGTTCAGAGCATTTGTTATTTGAGTTAAAAGTGGTCTTAAAACTGAAGGATAATATCCCATCTATGAGGGCATGACACTAAAGTGTTGTATATATAGTATGAAAGGGATCAACAGTTAAAGCCACTGAGCTTGTCAGGTGGGAAGCTGACAGCCCGGGTTTGAGACCCGAGCACCACGCAATGGAATGAGTTTCAGTTACTTGCCATTCCTGCCAATCTAGCACTGCGAACGCATGTAAAATGTGACTAGATAAATAGGTATCACTTTGGTGGGAAGGTAACAGAGTTCCTTGTTTATCAGCCTATACAGCCTTGCTTGCTACATGACACAGAAGCTTCTGACAATGCTGACTCCCTCAGCTAAGAATCTTGAGATGAATCAGACAAAACTATACAGAGAAAGTCTTTATCTTTTTTATATACAGTACAGTTTTTGAAAGTCAAAGCTTTATCTTAAAATTATTGAAATCAATTACATTTAGATGTGACTACCTCCAATGATTTTGATTGGTCTATTTCTCATACATGAATAACAAAGTATGAGTTGCTACAGTAGATTTCATACAGTCACTTAATTACTGGTTTGTTTTTCGCAAATGCTTAATTTTGTTCCAATGGAGATATTCCAAAAACCAAATGAGAGAACAAAAAATATATCAAAATTGCAGCTTAACAATATGCATAGGATAAAGTTTTTAGAAAACTCAAGGAATTATTCTGCAAAGCTGGAAATCTTAAGTGAGAAGAAATCTTATTAAACAAATTGTGCATATTGACTATGTACTAAACATTTTGATAGATCCCTGCTGACAGCTCAGAAATAAGTCTGCTTTTGAATGTTGTGCCACATTAAGCTTCATCATGGAGGCATATTTCCATACATGCCTTGTCATCAAAACAAACTATTAAATCCTTTATCATTGTTCCTTTCAAATATCAGTGATGAAACTGGCTTGTTATGAAATGTGACTTCTCTAGACAAGTAGGCTTCATACTTGTCTTCCAGATGCAGTTTTCAGTAATGCTCCAAGAATGGAGCCTATTTGAATTCCTGCTCATTATTCTAGGTAGAAAGATGCAGAAATCTGTGAATAGAATAGAACAGAATAGAATGGAACAGGTTTATTGGCCAAGTGATTGGACACACACGGACTAAATAAGCAATGAACATAAATCATACTAGAAAATTAAATAAAACAATATAAATCATAAAGATACAAGCAACAAAACTGGTGGGCACACATGTCTTCACAAAAACTAACATGATGTTACAATATCTGTGATTTCATCAAGTCTACAGAGGTATCTTTGAAAATGTTCCAATCAGTGCAATCAAGGCAAGCCTGTAGATTTAGTTTTGTCTCCTCAGTCCAAGATTTCACTGATTTAATTGTTGGTTCAATGGTTTTAAGCCTTTGTCTATAAACAGATACACGTGAATCATGCAATGATCAGAGCGTCCCACAGCTGCTTGTGGAAAAGACCAACAACCATCTTTTAATGTTCTGTAGCAGTGGTCTAAAGTACTCCTGTCTCTAGTGAGACAGTGGATGTGCTGAAAATATTTTGGTAGCTCTTGGCTTAAGTTAGCATTGTTGAAATCTAACACAGTGAGCTGTGCTTTATAATAATTAGATGGGTGACTTAAAGTATTTGAATAAAGGCCTAACATCTGAGACCTCATTCGTGACAGCTGTGGACAAGTTCCTTGATGCCCATCAAGTTTCCCATTATTCTGGTTTTTTATTTTGTGGCTAGGCATAGCTATTGCTGATAGATGGGAGAGACTTACCCAGCAACTTGCAACCTTCCTTGCTTTCCCCATTGACTTTGCTTGTAGGAAGCTGACAAAGAATGATGATCACATGACCATGGGGCACTGCAATCATAAGTGCATGCCAGTTGCCAAATGCCCAGATCAGGCGTACCGAACTCCCAGGCTACAGCCCATTCAGAATCAGGCCTGTGGGCGAGTGCGCACATATGCTCAGCTCCACTTCCACACACACAAAACTTGAGTTGTGCAAGCAAGTGCTCGTGCACAGTGTTCACACAGAACCACTTACTATTATTACCTTTATTGTCCGAGTACAGCATGTGTACAATGAGATTGGCTGAGCCTCCTTTCGTGCACACACCCCCAACACAATTCACAATGAGGACAGAAATCCCTAACCTAGTCCCAATCTTATTACACTATATAGACATGACTTTGTTGCATAACGCGCCGGCCCCACAAGTCTTATTATATAGACATGAAGTTATTTTCCATTCAGAAGTCTGACTGCCCATGGGTAGAAACTCTTCTTCAGCCTGTTGGTGCGGTTAGCTATGCTTCTATATCTCCTACCCAATGGTAGGAGAGTGAAGAACCAACCCCTCTACCCACCCACTCGCACTGATCTGTAAACCCGGAAAGGTTGGGGAACACTCTTCTGGATTGATTGCAGGAGTGGTTCAATGGCTGTCATTTCAAGGCCAGCCATAAGTATCACACCTTCAGCATCTATAGTTTAATGACACAGCCAGGAACATCAATCTCTGTATCTATGTTTACTTGGAAAATATCTTGAGGTCACCGTTCTCAGAAATGAGCAGTTGGTGACAAGAGAAAGCAACTTAGAAAATGGGGAGCGGGGGGTTGCCTTTGATTTAATGATAGATGCTAGCTGGTTAGTTGGTTTTGTTTTGCACGGTCTTGTGTTCTGATGATAGGAATAGGCTGTCTTTCTGCATGGGAATGTGTGTATTTTACTAAGCATCACTGGTATTTCTTTTTAGAAATAAATGATTTTAATTTTCCTTTGTATTTAGTTTCATGGTCACATTCAATGCCTCCTAGGGAGCACAGAATTTTGAACTGAGCAAAATGATTTTGCATTGTGTCACCTCTTCCCATTTGGTCTTTTGTTTTAGCTTTATCTCCGTATTGGCCTGGAAACAGGTCCATTGATTAACCAAGGTAGCCATTTTGGGCCCAGAGTACTTTTCACCAATATGTCCCTAGCTTTTCAAGAAGATAGGAGATCCCTACGCTGAAAAATATCTCAGGTTAGGGCTACTCAAACATATTTCTTATAATAATGTTTCCATGTTAAATAGCCTGACAGCCCACAAACTATTACAATGCCTTCTGTGTATCTATAGAAGATGTGATACAGGTATCCTTGACTTATATCCAAATTTAGACTCAAATTTCTATTGCTGAGATAGTTGTTTACCTATTTTTGCCCCATTTTAGGACCTTTCTTGTCACAGTTGTTAAGTGAATCACTGCAAATGTTAAGTGAATTTGACTTCTCCATTGACTTGTCAGAAGGTCACAAAAGATAATCCCATGTCCCTGCCACTATCATAAATATGTCAGTTGCCAAGCATCTGAATTTTGATCAAATGATCATGGAGATGCTGTAATAATCATTAAGAGTGAAAAACAGTCATAGGTCACTTTTTTCAGTGCCATTGTAACTTTGGTCACTAAATGAGCTGTTGTAAATCAATGATTACCTGTAATGTAATTTTCTCATATAGCTTGCAGGTTTCTTAGGAAGGTTTCTGCCTTTTTCTAATGAAAGTAAATAGTCTAACTTCATAATTAGACCTGTGATGATGAAACATCAAATGCTCGCACATTGTCAACGAAATTTGTCGACCTAAAAAAAAAGTTCAAAAACTTTAATACAATGAATGAAAGAGGTAGGATCAAAGAGTAGGTTTGATTGACAAGAAAAAAGGCTCTTGATGTA